TAACCACTTGTCAAAATATTATGCTTCTCTCAATAGAGGAGGGGCTAAATACAACCACTCACGATTGTAGTATCGTTGCAATTGCACATTAGGACTGCAACCATCTTAAATGTTCACGGTAATTGTATTGTGCTAGTTTGATAATGTTCGTGGCCTTGACGATTATACTGTAAATATTGTCCCATATTTAACTACTGATTAATGATTAGCTTTTAAAACTGGCCAATTAATTACTCAGCTTAACTATTTTAATCCCAAGCTGATAGTGTTGACTTTCACACTATGTCGTTAAATACAGGTTTCTTAAACAAGCGGAAAAAATCATACTGTAAATTGTTTATTTTTTTCCCTTGTTAAAGGGGTTTCTTCTGTAAATTGCAAGTTTAGGCTTTCGTTAATAATAAATAAATAAAAATTGCAATAACTGTTGTGTTTCTGCCAAAACTTCCGTTTCTCCTTTTCGTTCACACAAACCTCCAATAACGATTAAAAATGACAATTTTTCTTTTTGTCACAAACACATTTCATTTACTGATTAAAGACAACGATGAGAAGTTACAAAATTAATTTTGGTTATCAGTAACAAAGTATGTTTACCGGTATTCCTACAACAGTATAGGTTTACGACTTATGATTATTGTATTACCTTTTACTTTTTTTTTGACAATGTTTATCACCTAACTTATTGCCTAACAAAAATTAAATGCGAATTGCATTCATTTCAAGGGTCCTCTTTTATTAACTACTATCATCGCTCCTCTGACGTGTCATAGCTGGGATCAAAGGTTAATTTACTCGTAAATCCAACGACCAACGAAATGAGGTACAGGTTAATAGCATACACGTGCGCGCACTATAGCCGTCTCTCTCCTCTTCCCTCTTCAATGACATTATTCGTCACCCAAAGAAAGATCTGCAACTTCACCACCGGACCAGTTTCTCTCTCTTCTCGCACGAGGAACCATGACTGAAGAACAAGACCTCATCGACCAATCACCACCTCCTTCAGCACCCGACCCTGAAACTAACCCGAACCCGAATCCGAATTCAGTTATCCATCCGAGACGGGTGTCTTTCGAGCACGGACTCCTCCCGATCCAGAAGCTCGTTTTTACCGACCCGATCCAAACCCTAGCTCCCGTCAAGCAAAAGCTGGCCGATGCCGCCTCGAATAACCGCGTCGGATCGGCTGCAGTCGCCGACGTTCTCCAGATCTCCGGCGACCATGCGCGTCTCGTTCTCGAGACTCTCGGTTCGGTTCTCCATTCCGAGTCCGATCCTCTGGTTCGAGCGAAACCAGAAGAAGTTGATTCCGTCGGAGCTGACTTGCGGGATCTAATTTTGTTTCTGTACATTCAATCGTATAAGAAATTGCTGCCTAGGACGCACAAGGACTCCGCTGCGGTGGCCGATGTTTGGCCTTCGACTTCCGCTTTTGATGGATACTTGTCGGCGTTATCCCCAATTCAGGCAAGTTTGTTACTTTTTTTTTGCCCCCTTATTATAATGTGCCTCAAGTAATATTCAGTGATCCCCTCTGCGATCTATTTGGTGTGGGAATGGAATTAACTTAGTTGAAATATGAAAACAGAACGTGGTAGCTCTATTAAGAGGGTTAGAGAATCATTTTCTTTCCATTTTGCATTGAATTCAACAAAATTTTGTAATGCAAGCTAAAGTTTTTGGTTTGATTTACCTGAAACCTAGAGTAAAGCAAAGTTGCAAGTTTGGGTGTTTCTTCGAATTGATGGTGGAAGTAGTGTTTAGATGTATGTCCGTAATAATTCTCAATGGAAACGATGTTCGTATTCTAAATGCATACTGACTTATTGCTTCAAATACGAAACTGTTTGTCTTCTTGTGGTGAAGGTATTGATGTAATATCATTGTATTTGAAGCTACATCAAATAAGCATGCTAATGTTAATGTTGCCATGTTGCTGTAGTGTGAGATACTTGTATCAGGTTCTTGGTGTTTGAAATGCGCGCATTGGCACATGCTTTTAGTAATATTTACCTATTCATTTCGGTAACTTGTTCATTTTTATCATCTCTTAAATGCCTGTCCCGTTTCTTTGATGACTCTGGGGCAATGGTTACTGCGCGACTCCTGTGACATTCTCATTCCTGTTTGTGGTAGGGCTGGTCTATTGTGTCTTTGAGGATGCAGTCATCTTATTTAATATTTCTTATCGTTTCATCGGTCATTGTTCTTCGGTATGCTTTTGTTTCCCATCACATGGGTCTAAAATGTTAGTTATATTTCCTTTTCATCAATTTGCAGCTTGTTCGCAGCAACAGCCGTCGGTTTATGCCATCACAAGCAGATGATGAAGCTCATCAATTGTCATATCTGCAAAAACATTTAGCAAACATCATTTCTCTCCTTGCAGAGCCTGTAGAAGGAGAAGAATCACTGGTATGTGTTAGTCTTTCTTTATTTTCTCGAGAAGAGTCACTGTTTCTACAGAGCATGATATAAAATTTGACGTTGGAATAAGAATTCTTCAGGGAATGAAAGAGAACACAAGTCTCAAGCTAGATGCTTATTTCATGATGGTTCAAACTAAATAAATTGTTTTGCTTGTTCAATATCTTTCAGGTTCTCTCTATGGAGGCTTTTGAGCACCTGGCTTTTCTTCTTCAGTTTGGTGATAAGGGTTCTGATGTATCTCCACTGAGCCAATCTACTCCATTTTTTGCAAATTCTGATCCGGATATGCCTGCTGTTCCAGTCCCTGCTTCCCAAGTGCATGAATGGCTTCTGCAAAACATAGCTACCGCTTTAGAAAGCATTACTGAGAGAATTTCTGGGAAAGAGAACGGGCCTTCTAATGCCTCTGATCAAGACGATGCGATGTCAGATGCTTGTGCTGCTCCCAACAAGGTTGCACCCAGTGGTAAAGGCCCGTGTTTAATCGAAGGAGTCTCCAAGACTTCACTTGTTAAGCAGGCCTCCGATCTAAGGGGTAGATCTGTGAAGGTTCGCTGTGAACAACTGATTTGTGTTTAAATACAGTTGGATTACTCTTTGCTCCAGTTCTCCTACCAGTCATGTAGTCGAACTCATGTCAACTAAATGTTCCGTGTATTTTGCAGGTTGTCAATTGCCATGATTCTGTTATCTATCTTTTAGCTCCATTGAGATATGCAACTGTGCATGGATGTTCTGATACTACTATAGTTCTGGGAGCTGTTGGCAAGGTATGACACAATAATCCTTTCGTCTTTCTCATTAGCGGAGATATTCAAGGCAACATTTCAGAGGTTAAAATATGTGCCAATTTTTACTAGAAGATGCAGAAAATCAATTTCTCATTTACTTCTGCAGGCATTAAGAGTTGAGCACTGTGAGAGAGTTCATGTGATTGCAGCTGCCAAACGAGTGTGCATCGCCAATTGCCGTGAATGTGTATTCTTCTTGGGAGTAAATCAGCGACCACTGATTGTTGGTGATAACCACAAACTGCAGGTGAAGCCTCTCTCTCACAAGTATTTATATCATATTGCATAGTGCATACGCAACTCTTCTTTACTTTTATGATTAAAGCTAAAATTAGTGAAGAGGCAAGACTTTTTACTAGCATTAGTTTGGTAAATATGCTCTTCTGGACATGTGAACTGAGTTTAGTGGAAATATCTTCGCGGTGTTATCCATTCATTAGTTTATAGTGTTGATGAAGATATTGATTAAGAAATACCTCTTAGTCTGATGTTTGCTTCGAGAGAGTGTCATAGAACAGGTTTCTAGTAGTTACAGGCTTCTAAAAAATCTGTTTGGTGTTTTTCCAGGTGGCTCCATATAATACATATTACTCTCATTTGGAGGAGCACATGAGTGAGGTAGGGGTTGAGCCAACTATCAACAAATGGGACAAACCATTGGCACTGGGAGCAGTGGATCCACATGACTCACTGTCACATCCTGCCGGTGTCGCAGATGCACAGGCTGAAACGGCTGCTTGTGTAGACCCTGACCAGTTCATAAACTTTTTGGTACACACTGTTTTTATTGGTCTAATTTGACTCTGATAACCGGTGAATGCTATTCAAGAATCATCTAATCACATGTTTTATCTGTGGTATCAATGTCTGTGGTGAAGATCCCAACCTGGTTTAGCGGCGAGGAGATTGGTTCGACGAAAGACAATCCTTTTCCATTGCCAGATGCTTACATGGCAGCTCAGCAGAGAAATGTATGTTTTTACGTTTTTCTTTAGTAAGAAATGGAGCACTTGTTCGCATCTTCCTAACTCCAATATTTTTGGTTTCATCAGCTTAAGAGCCTTGAAGAAACAAGACGATCGCTAAGAGAAACGCCTCTGGAAGAAAACCGGAAAAAGGAGCTATCAAGCGCACTCCATGTTTATTTCAAAGACTGGCTCTATGGTAAGAACTTTCGAAATCAAAACCCACTCTACTTTACGTGCATCATATATTTGGTTTTGACTCTCTGTTTCTGCTGTGAATCTGACAGCAAGTGGGAATATAAGGCAACTCTACTGCCTACAAGGTGACTAATAATGAAAAATAATACCAAGTGGAAGATCTTTCGTTCCTGTAGAGCTCTCTCGATCATATTGTGGCATATTGCTAGCGAAGAAATCCAAGATCCAGAAAAAAAGAAAAGAAGGAAAAAGAGAAATCAGCCTGATTTGTAGTTTGGAACCAATACGCACCACGTAACTTATCTGCACAGAACACCTCCCCTAAAGCTTTCCTTTAGATTAATATTTTCTTTTATTCTGCTTTGGTTGTTCCTTTTGACATTTCAATCCCTCGTTTTTGTCCTCTTTTCTCCTTTTTTTTCTTTCAAAATCTCATTTTCGAACAGAGCATGATGGCTTCCTTGAATTGTTATAACATATAAAGCAGAAATTGCAAAACTTTTTTTTGATATTATTGTCTTGTCTTAGCTCGGAGGAAGTAGTTCGAATCCCTCCAACCTATTAGCATACAGAGATGAACTGATTTGTCCGAACGGAAGAGTTAGATAACAAGTAGACGCAATAATTTTTTTATTGTAGAAACATTCCGACATAGATATGGGAAATTGCAGAGTAATCTCCAGATACAAAACAAAAAGACATGGAAGATCTTAAGAATTCAGGATCAGCTAATAATGTTTTGTTGCTACTTTCTCCACAATAGCTTTTCGTCACCATCAGGGTAATCAAGAATCAGCTTCGGCTCTCTTCTCGACGGTGTATGGATAGTATTCTCTACCCGTGTCTACTCTCGTGGTCTGGCCACCAGAATCGATCAAAGCCGAGGTGATTGCAAGAGCAGCACCTGCAGATATTGCGGTTGGGATGCTCCTTGCTGTAAAAGAGGAACAAATGCAACCAAAACCCGGATTACAATGGCATAGAAGCAAATGTTGTAGTATGTATATGTAGATTTCTAACAACAGAATAACCAAAACCTCTATATGGACTTTCGGTTTGTACACTATGACTATCACCAGATAAAAAGCTAATAAGTATGCTTCGGAAAACCGTAGAGCAAATCTGTATAGTACTAGTAGAGGCTAAAACTGTGGTATTATGGTCATAATCGTGTTTGGTACTCTTAAGAGTGACAGATTCTTGGAAACAATAGAGTTTGTTCCACATCATAAAACTCATATTGCTTCTAGTTAATTCAACAGATAACTCAAACAACCTAACAGATAACTCAAACAGCGTATCAATCCCAAACCTGGATCCTAGATTCTACATAATGGAATTCATAGTTCATAGCCCATTGTTAAAGAACAACAAGAACGAATCATTGAGACACTAGTTCTACACTGACGCAGCCAAAAAAAGAACTGGATGAGTTACCTTTATAGCCAAGAACAGAGGCTCCAGCAACGAAACCCCCAATAGAACCGTTGAAAAAATCCCTCTTAGCTCTATAGTTCTGCACCAACTGTTCAACACCGATGAAAACACCTCCGATGGCAGCAAATGTCAGCCCATGGCTTCCCATCATCTTCAGTGTTCTGATGAGTCCTGGAAGAGCAACATTTCTTTCGACACGAGGGACGTCTTTCCATGTTGCCACGACAGTCCCGTAAATAGTCCCAGCTGCAAAACCAGTCACAGCACCTTTGATCGTCTTCATCATCGCTCCATCTTCCTCTTCCAGGTATCTCATTTCAGAAGGATCCATGATTTCTTCTACGGATAAAGCTTAATCTTTTACGTCAAATCACAAAGAAAATTGGTAAAACTGAGTGCGAAATACACAACTTTTAGGAATTAAGTTCCTATTGCTCAAATGGGTTCTATGGTCTAAACCGACATCGGGCAATAGAGCCTCAGTAATCGAGCAGTGAGAAACTGGAAATGAATGCAAAATGAAGCAAAGACACGAATTTGCAGGAGTTTCGTCAAAAATTCTACGCCTCTCAAATCACAATTGGGCTCTAATTTGTTTGATCCACTACCAGATCGTTGATATACAACATACATGAAACGATCATCAGGCTTAAGAACACAGATTACAAGTGGAGAGCAATGGATCATAGAAACGGAGATTTGATTAATGTAGGAGCAACGCTCCTAGGTGTGGAAGCTCTACAAAGTCGTAATCCGGAATCCAATACTAACAAGCAGAGAAATTTACGGAAATAACGAAAAAAAGGAAAAGAATAGTGGAGATTCATCGTAAATTTACCTTGGGAACTCGAAGAACTGAGAGATGGAAAAGAAGACAGATGCAGCAGAGAAGCAAAAATGTATATCTCCGATGTTCTTCAGCGACGAGACGCCTGCGCGAGAGAAAGCCCAAGTTCGATCTAGATAATCTTTTTGGGCCTCATTATAAAGCCCATTAATTTACTCTTTCTCTTCTTTTTTTTTGGTTATGCCCTCTCTCCGTCGTCGCAAGCTCCGTCGGCAATAATGGCAGAATCGACGAGAAATCTGACTGGGCTCGGAGGGGAATCAGCGAAATACGAAGAAGAAGAGAATGATGACTACATGGGAGACCTGTCTCAGTTCATCCCACCTGAGCTTACCCAAACCTCCAAAAGAAAGGTATTTACAGTTACAGGACAAAGTTTCCAACTTTTTAGATAAAAGCTTGCCCTTTTGCGGAATTTCTCTGATTGATTACGAGTGGGTACAAATATTTAGTTCGTTTATCATCTGTCTTTTGGTGGGTGTTGTATATTTCAATTCGTTTACCCTTATTGAAGAAGTGTGATTTGAAATTTAGTTGAAAGTCCAGAGTTCACTTGTTGATCTCTTAGTAAGAAAATGCAAGTGCTAATCATCTGAGTGCTTTGCAGGAATCTGAAAAGAAAACTGTAATCTCTGAACCATCTCGGAAGAAGTTAAAGAATCTCAATTGGCACGAGAGGCGAAGATTGGAGAAAGAGAGGAAGCAAATAGAAGAGGATGAGCAGACACTGGCTCGTATAGAAGACACCCCGATTGGAGAATCTAACGTAGGTTTTAAGCTATTGAAGCAAATGGGTTACAAACCAGGCTTTGCTCTTGGTAAAGAAGGGTCAGGTAGAGCTGAGCCAGTGACCATGGATATTCGAAGGTCGAGGGCCGGTGTGGGAAGAGAGGATCCACATAAGGAAAAGAAGAAAAGAGAGGTGATTGAGGCGGAGAATGAGAAGAGAAAGGTTGAGGAAATGTTGGAGGATTTCGGGTCGAGACAGAAGTGTCAATGGCGTAATAAAAGAGTTGTGATTAACTTTAAGAAGGCCAAGGCAGCTCTTGATCAGCTTGAGAACGTAGAAGTTGTTCCCAAGAAGAAAAACGAGGAAGATGGGGATGGTAAGCCTGATGAAGAAGAGGAAGAAGAGGAGGAGATCACTGAAGAGGTACGTTGTCTAGAAAACAAGAATTGGCACTGGTTTGGTGTTTCTGGTCGAGTAGAGTTCGAGGCTCCCAGTTGACAATTTGAGAGTCAACATTGTTCTTTATGTTCTTGAGGATGACAATTTCAGCTTTACTCATTGCAGGATTTGCAAGAGATATTAATGAAACTGAGAGATGAACATCGGTATTGCCCTTTTTGCGGGTTCCAGGTAATTGATACGTTCATCATTGTTTTTGCCAATGCTAAGTATTGAGTTTGTGTAAGTATGCTAACAAAACTTTCACGATATGTGAATCAGTATGAAACGACTGAAGCTCTTCTTTCCAATTGCCCTGGCGTAGACGAGGATGATCACTAGATAAGTCAAAGTGCTATGGAATTGAAAGCACACAAACGCAATTTATGTTTGCAGAAGCTTGGAGTCAGGCTGAAAATTTCATGGTTATGTGGCTGAAGAGGAAGCTTGAGACAGGAGAAAGAGTGTTTGCAGTCGCATAAGCGGGTAGGTGAAGAGGTACACACTAAAGGATTTTAAGGACTTGTTAATTCCCATATATGATATAACTCATGCTTTGATGGATAGTAGAATGATAAAAGCATGTAAGAACTCCGATTTGATTAACAATATCTAATTTGATGACGATGTTTCTGATTCTCAAACTAAGTAAAAGTGCGTTTCTATTGGATGTAAACAAAACAAAGAGATCATCACTAAAAAACAACTGGCTTAAAGATGAAGACAAAAACCATTAAAATAATATCCAAATCAAAGGCCATTATCTGGCATAATTGTCTGGAGTAGCATAGAACAGATAATTTGATAAGATCTTGCGACTATCAAGTCTTAGTAGTAACCTTTCACAGGTGAGGCTCTTGGTGCAGATGAACAAGTTAATCCAAGAAAAAGTCTTTAAAAGGTGAAAGAGAAAAAAAAGACTCAAAGAGACCAATTGAAATGTTGAGGAGAAGAGTCATAAGCTCTTGTGTTCTCAGGTTCCATGTATTGCCTCAGAACCTGCTGATGAAGAGACGACTCGAATCCACCCATTGTGGTGCCATTGTTTCTATGGAAATCATCTTGCTCAGAGATTTGCCTCAGTCCCAAAACAGGAGACATATCCTGTGAGTTGCTCTTTTCGCCCGCCATGATTTCCCATGTTTGGTTAAGGTACTGATGCTGGATTATAACGGGCGGTGGCTGAGCCATTGTAACCCTATCGGCGATCGTCGACTCGAAACCTGAAGCTGGTCGCCAGATATTGGTTGATGTCTGAAGTTGTTGTTGTTGCTGCTGCGGAATTGTGTTTGAGTTTGACAGAAGAGAGAGAGCACAGTTTGAGTCTGTGCTAATATTGTTCACCATCTCTGAACGTGTTGTGGTGGTAAAGCTTGAGCTTCCATGTGCGAAAACATTCATAACTTGATGGTTTTCCCTTTCCGGGTAAATCTGCCACGGTGCAGACCGTCGCATCACTGATCTTGCGGTTGTCCACGTAGTAGGATCTCCCAAAACGCTTCTAATCATGGCAGCATTGGCGTTTCCTGTCACCATAAAAAGGTATAAAGAACTTGTTTTTAAGGCACATTGAGCTGAAAAGTGTGAGATCTTACCGTAAAGAGATGGAGCGAGTCTAGAGCAACGAGAAGTCAAAAGAGTCGTTGTGGCTTGTGGCTTTCTTCGTCGTTCGTTATGACAAGCGAGCCGTCTTCGACAACTTCGTTTCTCTGAGTCAAACTCAGATAGCTGGTGAAACCTGAATGATATAAAGAGAAAAGAAGCTTCAACAAAAAGCAACGTAATAATTCATATTATTATCTCCAGATACAAGAGAGACAAGATCACATTAATAACTAGCTGTAAAGTTTTATAAGACTCTTCATAGACGTTAAGAGCCAAAGCAAACACAAAAAAAAAAAGACAAAAAGGGGTCAAAACAAGATAAAGCTTAAAGCTTTAGTTTCCTTTAAGACTCTTCCGATCACCGGGAGTGGCAAAAAGAGTAAATAAATTAGAGGGTGAAAATTGTTTAAAAAGAAAGAAGAGAAACCTGCTACATTGCTGGCAAAACCTTTGATGAAGACCATCGACAATGACTTTAGATGATTTAGAGTGAATACAACAAACTTTATGTCTCGAGTAGTAAGTTTTTACATTGCTTAGATCCATTTTACAACCTTCCACTTGGCACCTCGCCGTCAACGACTTACGAACCGCTTTAACCCGGTTCTTGCTTGACCCGGCTCCGGATCCCGATCCATCCTCGAAGTAGATCTTCTGACCAAACCTGAGTCCACCACTGAGTGAAGAAGATGACTCGGTGGAGGAAGAACCACCAGAACGAGTCCGGTTCTTACCCGAGTCCATTAGTAACTCCATAATGGTTTTTGGTTTCCTCTTACTCAGACAGAGAAAGAAATGCCTTTGTTCATCTCTCTCTCTGTAAGTACTGAGCCTGGAAATAGAAAGGACGAAGGAAGAAGAAAAGAAAAAAAAAGTGGTTTTGCTGATTTTAGTTGTTGCTGTCTCTTAAAAGATCAGAGAGAAAGAGAGTAAGAGAGAAAGAGAGAGAGAGAGAAGCTGACAAAAGAAGAGACACTCAAGAGTGATTGATACTAGGCCACGACAGCTACGAATTTTCGCGTTTGCGTTTTGGGGATGTTGGGTGCGTTGATTGGTGTTTTTTGTTGTAATTTGTAATGAACATATATACACACAAAAGGCGTGTGGAATATTTTTTATTTCTTCTTTAACGTACACAATGATATCCTTAAATGAGACCAGGGAACATAACTCCCATGTAAAATCTAGCTGTTTATTCTACAATTATTAGTTAAATGATGTTAAAATGTTAACCTTTATTGTAGTTTGTAGATATGAGCTGACCAAAGACCTATAAATGGATGATGGTTGGTTTATGTTGTTGTATAAATACAATAGCTAGCTATACTATTGCTACTAATTAAAGAGCAGCAGAAACAACAATAATAGGACATTAGTAGTTTAAAAATACAACAGTAGAAAGAATAGAGAATTATGGGCAGAGAGACAGAGAGTGTTGGAACTCAACTAAGGATGTGACTCTTCAAGGAACTAGTAGGTTATCGAACCATTTCAGAATGGTTCAGTTCTGCTTTGTTTTCTAAAAATATTTGTTGTTCTCTCACTCACTCTCTTTTTTCTTTTTCTTTTTTCTTTTTGCAATTAGAACCTTTTTTTTTTGACATCTTCTTTTTGCAATTAGATTTGTTGTTCTTTTCACAATATCCAATGCAACATCTTTCTTGGTAAATTAAACCAAAATTATTATTCTTTTCAAAAGGGAGTATGGGAAGTTCGATTCGTGGTCATGTATCCATCAGAATCTGTGTACTTAAAATTTTCATTGGGTTGTGTGTATCAGTTAGCTTCTACTATTCCTTTTGTGTTTGCTTTATTACACAATCTGGCTCCTTTCTTTTCATTTCCAAAATGTTAATAATCCTGAAAAAAAGCCTAAAGCCGTAGTCTCGCTTGACTAATTTCCATATCTTCTTGATATTTTTTTCCTGGAAAAGTAAAATTTTGATTCTTTTGTTCTTCTTCCTACTCTGAAACTTTTTGTTATTTTTTTTTCCACTTTTCACAACTCATAAATGTTGCATTTCATAGTTTTAGGATCTACTCTGTTCACAAAAGATAATAGTTTCAAAACGCCATGAAAACTAGGACAATGGGCAGTGTCCGAAAAACTCGAAAATCCTGATTCCATATATGAAAACAAAAACGCAGCCGCATAAAACTCGTGTCCTAACAACAAAAGTATTTCAATAAAAAGAAGAAAACAAAAAAAAAAAAAACAAAAGTGCGGTTCCAAAAGCATTTTAAGAACCTCTTTTCAAATCCCATTACATTCAACAACTGCTTCCGCAGCTCGTCTTGGTTTGTTCTTCCTTCTGCTCCCATTTTGTCTAAACCCAATAGATGATGACTTCACTGAATCATCTGTGCTTAATTTCGATCCTAACCCATTCTCTTCTTCGGTTATATTGCTCTCTTTAGACTCTACTGGTTTCTTCCTCTTCCTCCCATTCTCAGTCACTTCTTCTTTACTTGTTACTACTGAACCATTTGTATCATCATCCTTTTCTTCTTCCTTCTCCAGGATCTCATCTTCTCCTTCGGTTTCATCTTTCACCGGCTTCTGTGGCCTTCCTCTTCTCCTGTAAGCTGGAATCTTTTCTTCCTCACCGCTTCCACGATCTTCTCTAGCAGTAGCATTCTGCCTCTTGCCTTTTCCTCTACCTCTTCTCATAACTCTATTCGATTCTACGAAACCAAAAGCCTCAAGCAAGTAGACAAGAAACCTGCAAGTTAAAAAGGTTGTTTCTTTCACATACTGAAGGGCTATTTCAATTCAAACACACACTTGAACTTGTCTTAAGAGAGCTAAAGGTTAGAGCATTGAAAATGTGAAAGCATTGTCCTTTTTTTCCATATCCACAAAATTGGTGATGATTCAGTTAATAGACACTCCATTTAGGATCACATGTACATGAGGAACTATTCATTGACTAAACAGGGTCAAGCGCAATCATCAACAGGAAAGCAAGATTTCATTACAGGGATTTATAAGCAACACAACATTTCAGTTACAGCTAGACATTGAACTATTTGATGTCTTCAAAACCTATCATTTCCAACTCAGTAGTAACCTCAAACTAAGCTAAAAGCAAGTTCAATCCATTATCTTTCAAGAAAACTAATTGCATGAACAGTCCAAGGAGAAAAACAATCCCTAATTACCTTCCAATCTATTCAAAACTTCTACAGAACAGTCAACACAGGATTCACTACCACCAAAAACACAGAGAGAAAGAGAGAGAGAGAGAGAGAGAGAGAGAGAGAGAGAGAGAGAGAGAGAGAGAGAGAGAGAGACTCACCTGTGAACTCATTGCTCAGAATGAGACAAACAAACCCAATCAGAAACCCCAAAAGGATTTCTCTTTTCTAATTTTTTTCTTGGGGTTTCGATCTATCTGCTCAAATGTTTCTACAACCAACAACTAAAATTAGCAGAGAGAGCACAACCCAGATCAGAAGAAACACTGAGTTTATAAAAGAAAGTGATAAAACCAAGCAGAAGAATCGAATTAAAATCCAAAGGATAAGAGTTCAAAGAAAGAGATCTAAGGGAAAGACAAGGAAAGAAAACGAAGAGAAAGAGCAGCAGCAACAACAACAAGTAGTGTTGGTTGAAAGTTTCGTTGAAAGAAAAAAATGATTGCTTTCAAAAAGAGTTCTTTTTTTCTTCTTCTTGCTTCTGTGAAGCTAAATAAAAAACCGTAAGAATGACGCTTTCCTCTCACTCCCACCATCACAGTGACTCAAATTGGATCTTAAGCCCGTTGAAGATGGATACGGATTCCTCCACACGCGCTCCATTTGGCGCGTGCTTTCACATTCTACTCGTTTTCGTTTCGAACTTGGTTGGATAAGAGTCATAAAGACAGCTAACAGCCGCGTGACCGCGTCGAATCGATCATCAAAGATTTGAAAAACAGATATTTCTTTTCTGGGCATCACAAAAAGATATTGGTCTTTTAGGCCCAATTAGACTTTAGGATCCAAGATGCCATTCCTTCTGTATATATGAGATTACAAGCCCATTAGCAGCCCAATTATATCTTAACATCATTACCGAACATATTATACATAACATTTACCCCCATGCTCGAGAGTTCGACCCTACCTGATGCGAACTTTTTTTAGTTTTTTCTTTTAGTGAAAAGGAGAAGATGGTCAAAGCTCAAAATTAATAATCTATGCCTTCCTTCATAAACCCTACTGCACAATTTTGAAACCCTAATTTCCGGTCGTTTTCATTTTTGTATCATCGTTTCCTTCAATTCTTCCTTTTCTACTCTTTTTTTTTTTTTTTGGATCGAACCCTTTTTTTCCTTCTTCTTTTTAACATACAACGTATCACATTCAATCAGCATAAATTATCCTAATTCTGAACTGAAAATTTAAAGAAATCGATTTCATCAGTTTGATTCTCACCACTCGAAAGCAAAAAGTCTTGCTAAAAAACTCAGTTTTCTGTTATTGATTGGGTTTTCTTCTGTGTGCTAAGAAGAAGTAGAAGGAAAAGAACTAGTGTTGCAAGAATGAGGAAGAAGGTAGACGAACGTATCAGGACTCTGATTGAAAACGGTGTCAAACTGAGACACCGTTCCATGTTTGTCATCATCGGTGACAAGTCTCGTGACCAGGTTAGGTGTTACATTTTTCGACTTTTGACTCATATCACTGATACTTTTGTTGGATATTAATTCTACAATTCTCTTTTGTTTGTTTGTGTGTGTGTGTGTTTCTTCCTTAACAGATAGTGAACCTCCATCATATGCTGTCAAAGGCAGTGATTAAGTGTAATCCGAGTGTCTTGTGGTGCTACAAGGACAAACTTGACATTAGCAGGTTTAAATTCTGAAGCTTTAGATCGTTCTTTTTTAGCTTTTCTGTTTGAATTTTGTCTTTTTTAATCGTCCTCTGGATAGTTAGGGCAGATTCTGATTGTCCTGAGTCAATTGAAAGTTGATAACTTTGTCATGAATGATGAAAGTCTGTTCGTGTATTGTTATTTTCTTGGTCAACAGAATTTTTCAGTGAGAGCTTTGCATTCTTCGTATTGTTTGCAGTCATAAGAAAAAGCGTTCGAAGCAGCTGAAGAGAATGAGGGAGAGGGGACAATTGGATCCAGAGAAACTTGACGCATTCTCGCGTTTGCTTGATGTGGGGAGAGTAACTCATTGCTTGTACAAAGATTCTGAACGAATTCTGGGAAATACTTTTGGCATGTGCATCTTACAGGTACTTTGAATTCTTCATATCTTGAATTAGTTTTCTCCATATTCATTACCAGATTACTGTCTCCTGGCCCTGTTTCATTTCGTGGGTGATAGTCAATATTTCTTCTTGCCAAATTCAGGATTTTGAAGCTTTGACTCCCAATCTACTAGCAAGGACTATAGAGACTGTGGAAGGTGGTGGGATGATTGTAATAATAATACGATCACTTGCATCGCTTACTAGTCTGTGCACAATGGTTATGGTATGAACCACAGGTTTCATACTCTTATTGTTTACTTTACGAAAAGGGGACAAAAACACCATCTAACTGCTGTTACATGAGTTTTTTATGTTTTTCATATTAGGATGTCCATGACAGATTCCGAACTGAGTCGCATTCTGAGGCTGCCGGCCGATTTAATGAACGTTTTCTGCTATCAATTGCATCATGCAAAGCATGCGTTGTCATGGATGATGAGTTGAATATATTACCGCTTTCCTCGCATATCAGATATATTACGCAAGTTCCAACAGAAATGGTAATCTTCATAGCGAAGTGAATTGAGTTCTTTGTGAGAAAATGTTTTTAAAATATTACTCAGTAGTAATAACTCTTCAATATTGTGTGCTACCAAAGGATTCCGAGGGGCTTTCTGAGGCAGAACGAGACCTGAAGAGTTTGAAAGATGAACTAAGTGATGATTTTCCAGTTGGTCCTTTAATCAAGAAATGCTGTACACTGGATCAGGTTCAAATCTATCAACTGTTTGTTGTCTTGCTATTGATCTTTCTTGTTCCATGGCTGATGTTAGCGGAGATTCTGCATTCTTTCTGTAGGGTAAAGCTGTTGTCACATTTTTTGATGCAATTCTGGATAAGGCGCTCCGTAGCATTGTTGCTTTGATTGCTAGTCGAGGGCGTGGAAAGTCTGCTGCACTTGGTTTAGCTGTTGCCGGGGCTGTTGCTGCTGGGTATATTTACTCCCATATTTTCTTCTTCTCTCCAGTAATTCTTCTGAGATGTTTGTTAAAATTGTTGGTATGTGTTTTATTTGCTCTTAGGTACTCAAATATTTACATTACTGCTCCAAGCCCAGACAACTTGAAGACATTCTTTGAATTTGTTTGCAAAGGCTTTGATGCACTTGAATATAAGGTACATCAATCTTTTTTCCTATAGAATATATTAATATAGCACTTGTTCCATTTCATTGAGAAGAACTTGCAGAGACTTGCATATTTATTGAGTTAATCAGTGAAGTAGACGTACTTTAGCTCAAGCAAAGAAGAAGAACCCATTAATCTGTTTTGCGATGTGGTCATATATGTTTCTTAAATACCTTTCACTCTCTCTTTAAAGGAGCACCTTGATTATGATGTTGTGAAAAGTGCGAATCCGGACTTCAAAAAAGCTATTGTACGGATAAATATCTTCAAGCAGCATAGACAAACTATCCAGGTTTCTTCATTCCTCAGTTAATTCATGTTCATTAAGCTGTGATTTGTGTCCGTCTCTGACTTTTCCTTGCTCTTGATTTTTCCATGCAGTATATACAACCGCACGAGCATGAGAAGCTCTCACAAGTAGAGCTGCTGGTTATTGATGAAGCGGCAGCTATTCCTTTGCCAGTTGTGAAGTCTTTGCTCGGTCCTTATCTAGTTTTCCTATCGTCAACTGTCAGCGGGTACGTGCAACATAATTTGATGATATCCCCATAATACGGGAAAGTTATATCCATCTTCTGGTTTTACTTCAGGGATCATCATGGTGCTAAATTTACCTGTTTCTTCTTCTTTTTGTTGAAAGCTATGAAGGCACTGGTAGATCTTTATCCCTGAAACTCCTCCAACAATTAGATGAGCAAAGCCGGGCTCCTGCTACTGGTCTTGAAGGCTCTCTTTCTGGTATCGAACTGCTGCTTCTTGCTTTCATTCTTGGATAGGAAAATTATTAGCGATTTTTTTAGAGGCCCCTTTATCATCCTTAAGAGGATAGACTCATCTTTCTTAATATCGTCGCTCAGATGCCGCTACGTATTGTTTAGGAAGGAAAAGTATAGTGCTTTCAGTTTAGCAGTGAGCTCAATCGTAATGATTTAGGTGGCAAAGTCATTTGAAGGCCAGTTGTTGTAGTCTTGGGGAATATATGTAAATGTTCTTTTTGAAGACCATGAGCTTTGTTTTCATTTCTTTCCTTAAGACGCCTGCAAATATTAATCTAAATTCCCTGCGAAGTAGCTTGCTTTACTAGTATATCTGATACATTCTTTATATGTAGTAAGGTTAATTTCTTTCGCATGGACTGTGTTTTGTGGTGCCTCTAGTTGATGTGAGTCATTATTTTGGAGAATTCTCTGACTCTCTCAAGTTACTTTGGTAGGTTGCCTTTTCAAGAAGATAGAACTTAATGAGTCTATTAGATACGCTTCTGGAGATCCAATAGAATCCTGGCTTAATGGCTTACTTTGCCTTGACGTTGCTGCTAGTCTGCCTAATCCTGCATGGTTCGCATATATTACTGAAATTTTATAATGTCTATTGTCCTTTCTTCTGGTAATTTCGTCTAGAAATGTTTTTAATCGATTTGTCTTTTCTTTCTTCTTTTTGTGTAGCCATCCTCTACCAAGTCAGTGTGATCTGTATTATGTCAACCGAGACACACTCTTTTCTTATCACAAAGATAGTGAATTGTTTCTACAGGTATTGGGTTGATTGGGATCCTACATTCTTTTGTTACCTTTGTTTTGACAATAAAAATAATATAAGTGCATCCTACAGAGAATGATGGCGCTATGTGTCTCTTCTCACTACAAGAATTCTCCTAATGATCTTCAACTGCTGGCTGATGCTCCTGCTCATCATTTGTTCGTGTTACTTGGTATGCAATTTTTCCTTTTCCTCACGTAGTTTACCTTTAGACCTTTGCCTAACTGCTTTTAAACACAGGTCCTGTTGATGAGTCACAAAAGAAACTTCCTGATATACTCTGTGTTATCCAGGTATAGATTATTGCTTTTTATTCTGCCCCGTAGAATTACTATTATAAGCTGATCACTAACCTGTTTGGTCTGTTGAAACACCTAAAACGGTTGGAGTTTTATTTTTATGTTCACATTGACCTAGATCAGCGAATCATCAGTATTCATGAAAATGGACTTATAAAGATTAAATTATCAGCTATCAAATTGTTTTAACTGTTCCTTGCCACAATTTGTGGAAAATCATAGTTTCTAGCTTGTATCGTTTTTTAGACGTGTGGGATCTTAAGCATCAATGTGATTGTTATATACAGGTCTGTCTCGAAGGACAGATATCTCAGAACTCAGCCCTCAAAAGTTTAAGGGATGGTCATTCACCACATGGAGACCAAATTCCATGGAAATTTTGTGAACAATTCCGGGACATTGAATTTCCACATCTTTCTGGTGCTCGGATAGTACGCATAGCAGTCCACCCTAACGCCATGAAGGTAATGTATATATTTTCTGCTCATATTTTACCTGTCCAGTTAGGTTTTGTGTGCGATTAACAAGTTTCTGAGTGTCTTCTTGTAGATGGGATATGGTTCTGCTGCAGTTGAACTCTTGACCAGGTAAATTCATGAAAATGTGCATACTTGTGCATCCCATACATTACGTATATCAATGTTATGTTCTGTCTGAGGTCATACTCTTAAACAAATAGGCTGCTCTTCCTTACTATACTGATTGACATTTGCAGATATTTTGAGGGTCAGATTGCTCCTATCGCAGAAGCAAATGATGAAGCTGATGTAGAGCAATCACCCATTAGAGTTACTGAGGCTGCTGAGAAGGTTTCTGGTTTTTCTATTTGTATACTTTGGATTTTTCTAAGTGCAGAATCTGCTACTTCTTTTAAGTTCAGTAGTATAGTTATTTGTAACCATGCTTAGTTGATTCCTTTTCTGACAGGTCTCTATGCTCGAGGAGCAAGTCAAGCCTCGCACAAATCTTCCACCTCTATTGGTTCCACTCCATGATCGACGACCTGAGAGGCTCCACTACATCGGTGTCTCCTTTGGGCTTACTTTGGACCTCTTCCGGTTTTGGAGAAAACATAATTTTGCTCCATTCTACGTTAGCCAAATCCCAGTTGAGAATACCTCCATCCTTTTCCCTTGATTGCTTTTGCGATTCCATTTCTAGTAGTGGTTTTGTAACACTGATTTTTCCCTGTGCTTGGATCAGAGTGCTGTGACTGGTGAGCACACGTGTATGCTTCTAAAACCTTTAAAGACTGACGAACTAGAAGTCAGCGAGTCGGAGTTGGGGTTCTTTGCTCCCTTCTATAAAGGTTTATTGACTCTTTGATCAAGAACTGAACTTTCTTCATCTGCCATGTGTATCATTATTCTTGTTTAATGTTTGACAACTTTTTTTTGCTTTGTTCAGATTTCAGGATAAGGTTCTCTAAGCTGTTGAGTGATAAATTCAAGAAGATGGACTACAAACTTGCAATGAGGTAAGCATTCTTGTCATTAGTTTTCGGAAATATCAGTTTCATATTATTATTTATTTTGTATCATTCTTTCTGCAGTGTCTTAAACCCCAGGATCAATTTCTCGGAGGTTGATTCTTCAGGGAATTCATCAGAAGGATTTTTGAAGACACTTGACGGTATACTTTCTCCATTTGATATGGAGAGGCTTAGAGAATATACCAACAATATGACTGACTTCAATCTGGTTAGATTTCTTTTCTGAGAACTAAATTTACATTTTTGGAATGGTCTCTTCGAACCAATTTATATCCAAAAGGCCAAAACACATTGGAGGTTGAAATGGTGGCGCAGAAGTAAAACCAAACGGTCTACCATATAAACTTGTTAAAATAGATTTAGATCAATACCAACTGCTTTCTGTTTCTCCTTCTATTTGTAACCAGTTTCATTGTCTTATCGTTGAAAGGTTTATGACATCTGCAAAACACTGGCACATCTGTATTTTCAAGAGAAGCTCCCTGTATCACTGTCATACGTTCAAGCATCTGTATTGTTATGCTTGGGATTGCAGGAGTCGGAGTTCTCTAGCGTCGAGGTAATGTGCTGTTACTCTCATTTGCGTCATTATGTTTCACCACGTCAAACCTGCAAACACATTGAATGTTGGATTTTTGCAGAGACAAATGCAGTTGGAGAGGGGACAGATACACTCTCTTCTCTTGAAGGTCGGAAAAGAGTTATACAATTATCTGAACGGAATTGCAGCAAAGGAGATTGAATTAACACTCCCTCGTTTGAAAAGGGTAAGCTCCATTATGTTTTTCCTCAGTAGTTGATCCATCAATTATGATCATAAGAATACACATTTACGAAACCGAGAACAAAGTTTGGATCTTTGATGCCCATTGCTTTGTGTGCTACATATGGTTTAAAGTCTGAGCACTCCTGAGAGAATTAAGACTAAAACTTTCAAGTTATTTTCATAGTTTGGTGTTTAAAATTGGATAGTGAGTGTCATCTGTTTTGGTTTTTTAGAGGTTATATTTTGTATAGGCTAATTTACGGTTCATGGCTGCAGAGAGTGCTTGAACCATACAATGTATCGGTCGATGATGATCTCAGGGAAGGAGCAAAACAAGTCGAGGTAATTCTCCTACCTTCCCGTTCCCGTGTAAAAATGTTTTATATGTATTGCTTCGGTTATAACTTTGACGAACTTGTCCTCGTGTGTTTAAAAGGAACAAATGATGGAGAAGAAGATTGAAGGATCGATGGATCCAGAGCTTCAACAATATGAAATTGGGGACAAAGAAGCAGAGGCTCTGCAACATTCAAAAATCCCTTCAAGTGGTATTATCAGTGTTAAATCTAGCAAATTGAAGGATCAAAATGGAGTTGATAGATCCACCAAAAAGAGAAGCAATGATAAGCATTCTTCTTCCTCAAAATCCAAATCTTCCAAGAAGAGAAGAGCCTAATGGAGTTTTTTTCTTCTAATTATAACAATGATCAACACAGTTTTGAGCATGAGCGATAAAATTTTATAATCAGAAATTTTGGTTTATATCCGTTGTAATCTTAATATATATATTTATTTTTAATCAGAAATGACTAAAAGATTAAAGAAATCAAGTATTTTTCGTATTTCGTAAAGAAGTTACATGATTTTTTAGATGTTTCATTAATCTGTGTTGGTTAAAATTATAATTTTAAGAAAACGGTAAAATATTAAGAGATGTATATTCAGGTGTAATGTTAGAAACTTAAAATGCACTCCAAATCTCCAAATTAAACATTTGGAAGTGTATGGTTTTGCTTAGATCGAGTCAGAGGAGGTGGATACAATTGATGATGATGAGCATGTGCAAATGATTGAAATTTGGAAGGGATATGATGTAATGAAATATGTTCAATGATTATGATCACTTTTATTTCAATTTCTTCTATGACTTAACAAGCTTCTCTCAAACATTTTCAGCTTATTACGCTAGCTACAGCTTTTAATAGACCAAAGCTTCACGTATATACCTTTGATGGTGCATGACGAAAATAATAATATATGTCAAATATTTTTTTTTCTTGGGGTAAAATGACTGATTCAATTTTGTTGTTCCAGCGATTTTAAGTTTTAACCAAAAGGCATTAACTTTCACAATAAAACACAGACACAGACCCGGATCGATGAACGATAATGCTAAATCGCAAATTTAACTAATAGACTAGGCAAAAAAAAAAAAAACTAATAGACTAAGACGAATTTGATCTACACGTTAAACTCGGTCCCATCAAACATTTTACAAATAAGATTATAAACTAGAGATGAAGATCATTATATCAAATCTCTAGAAATTAGAATTATGTATCCGTCCCGTTTTGAATGGATAGTGTTTAAATCTTTAATGATTCGATATGTTGGTTACCCATATTTTTAATGCATGTAGAAAAAAATTATGGTATTCCTGTATACTAGTCTCCGTTTTTTAATTCTTTTAAGACACTGTTACCTAATAAAATAACATTTAAATTGACCAAAAAAAATAGATGTGTGGGTACTCTATTTTTGTTATGTAGTATATATAAAACATAAGAACAAAAATTAATTAATGTTATAATTAAAGGTCTATCATGAAAACAAATAAAGATCTGACAGAAAATACCAAAATTCAGTAGTTTTGGTATTTATGATATTCATATATCGGTATTCTTTTCTCCCACATATAGTTATATCGGTGTTCATAGCTAAATTTGGGCTGGGTATATATTCCACCTCTAAGATTAATTTTTTTTGAATTGAAATATTCCACCTCTAAGATTAATGCACTGGTATGTTTATATTTCACATATAATGAAGTAGTTTGATATTATTAGTTTATTACATGGAACCTACTTATTAACAAAAGGTAAAAGTGAATGATAGAAGAAGAAGAAGAAGAAGAAGAAGAAGAAGAAGAAGAAGAAGAAGAAGAAGAAGAGAAATCAAAATTGATAGAAGGAGTAGCAGTTGCAAGTTGCTAAAAGAAAGATACCAACTCTTTCATCTTCTGTGTCATCTGTGGATTCTCTTCACGCCTTGCTGATGCACTTTGGAGACGCCTCTTTCTTACCTTTTCTTCTTCTCCACTCTCTTCCTTTTTTCTCTGCTTTTTAATTCCTACTTGTTTACAAATTAAAAAAAATATATATATCTAATATAAATGGCGCTCAATCACTTCATCAAATACTTATTCTGAAGATTGAAACTGATCAGGTATATTAATCGAAGTAAGCTAGGATTACATTAGTAAATACATGCATGGCTTTACAAGATTCAATGAGAATTAAAACCAAAATAGATTCACTGAGAACATCCATGTCGGCATTGAGTGATAAATATATAATCTTGAGTTCAAACTGATTCTGGTCATAGACTTAGACTTAGGAGTATCCCAAGTTTGAATTATTTTAACTGTGTAAATTTCATATAGGCCTTTAAAGTTTAATCGGTTACTCAAAGAGCTGATTTAGGCCTGGACAAAAAACCCGGATCCGAATATCCGAACCGGAACCGAACCAAAATGGAGGTACCGAATTCAAACCGAAATTTTTTTAAAAAATTCGATGGATCTTAAACTCTTATACCCGAAGAACCGGAACCGAACTAGTACCGAACAGAGAACCGATTGGGTACCCGAATTATCCAAAGTATAATTATATATCTTTCTAAATATTAATTTTTTTTAATATTTTTGATATTTGGTATATATTTCTGGTTTTACAGATATATTTTTTTTATTTTTGGGACTTTTGGGTATATTTTTAAGTTTTGATATATATATTTTTGAATTTTTGTTATTAAAAAAATGTGAATCGAATTAAAAATTTGAGGCAAAAAATCCGGATCCGATTATCTGAACCGGACCCGAACCAAAATTTATAAAAATATCTGATGGATCCTAATTTTTTCTACCCGAAATATCTGGAACCGATTGGTTCCGAACCGAAACCGAACCGAATATCCGAATGCCTAGGCCTAAGCTGATTAATTAAGTTCGTTAATTTAATTTAATATTTACCTTTTGTAAAGAAAAGCAGTATCTTAGAAAAACAATAGTAAATGATTAGTTTTTGCTTCCACAATCCAAAAAGGAAAATCGGATTTTACGCGTAAATTTGCATGAATCAATATATGTGCTGTTGACCTGTTGTCTTACAATAAGGCATTATTTATGAACATATATATACCACAAACAATCCTAACCTCTTTTTTGGTGGAACTTTTAACTTCATTTTTTTTTTTGGTAACAATTAAAATATTTAGCAATAATCTACAACTTTACCAAGTGATTAAAAGCCAATATTACAATAAAATTTTGTGATTATTTAGCAAATTTCCCATATTATGACTAACCAAATTTCTACGATGTTAAATATATTAAAATTAATTATTATATAAAATAATTTAAATGATATAATAAAAACAACTTTAAAAGGAAGTTATTATAAAATAGCGGGGGGGGGGGGGGAAAGAGTAAAATTGTTTAAGCTTCTAATTTTTGGTATTTTCACCCAGGAAAAAAATATATAAATAATTAGATTAGTAACAGAGTATCAGTCATATATATTAAATAATACAGTGGATGTGCTCTGCATGTGTGTTTTGGTCCATCTCTTAGTGTAAGATAAAATCCAAGAAAACAAGAGCTCCAGAGATTCAGGTGGCCGATCAACTGGAAATCAGCCACTTTAATTTCTTGTCTAATTTCTTTTTTTGTTTTGTTAAGCTAATTTTTTTTTCAGGTATACAAAAATATTTAATCATCTGTGTGATATCTTTTTATAATATTTTTAGACCATAGCCACATTGGAGTTATGATTTTAAGTTAATAACAAATAAATAGTTGTTGTTTGTTTTATATATCCTCGGTCTTTGAGGTTTTCAGCGAAGCTTAAGCCTTAAGCGCCGTTCGCGGCTGTCTGAAAAATGAAAATCAGACGACAAAGATATACTTTATTTATTATCCACAAACAAATAATGCTATATATTTAAATTATAATTTAAAATTAGAGATATCGTCTTATAGTTTTACCGTATGGCCTTGTCAGTAAAACATTTCAAAGTTACAAAAAACTCCAAATTTTTTCATACATAATGATATTGCAAAAAAAAGGAATCCAAAACAATTTTTTAGCAAAACAATTACAGTCAGTATAGTACCAAGGCATAGATACATCTGTTACAAAATTTTGATTAAATTTGGATAAAAATTGCGTATCACAAAAAATTAATCATAGTGTTTGTTTCAAGATTACTCCTCTGAGTTTTATTTAATAAATGCGATCAAGTAATACAGTAGTACATGCATACGTAATTGACGATATATGATTGTGTGTAGTAGACATGTGCTTATTGGGATTTGTTTGGCTTCAAGAACCCCTAAAAATTCCTGAAACTGTTTCAAGATTCCATGACGACAAGGACTTTTGGCCTAATTTGCATTGATCCGATTGCCTAAATTTAATCCCTTCGTAGATCCAAATGAACACCAGCCAACAAAATTAATAATTCAATAATTTAATTCTATTTAACTACAACCATTATTATTATAAAAGTAAATTCATTAATATTTGTTGGCTGATACACACAAATAAACAACCTATTTGAGTACGTCATTTTAATTATGTTGGCATTATGCCTCCAAATTTTTAGCTTTTACGTTTTCAGCCAATGAAAGTGGTAGATTTTCCAATATAATAAAGCAGTGTTGTTGATCCGATCTAAGTTTGGGAAATGTGGGAATTTGGTTGAAGTTAATGAAGAGTGTATAAACTAGGATTTATAGGAGAAGTTGTAGGGTGAGGTTTGGTCTTATTCAAATCACCAAACACACTCCACAAGCTAAGCTTATCTATTATATTAGAAAGACATAATCACGTCTACCTATAAAATATTATAGATTCTTCAGAAGGTTGTCTGCGTTTGTAGTAAACTAAATTAGATTCGCAGAAGTGAAACATGAAGTGGCGAATCTGAGATTACAAAACAATAGTAATATATAACGACAAATAAAACATAGGAAATGTTTGGTTTCTTTAACCTTACGCAATGTTTTAATTAGTTTGAACTCTTCCCGATACCTAATTGGGAGTTGAAAAACGCAGTCCTCAGCCAAACCCGTTTGTGGCTCACTCTACTTCTTGTGTTGCGCCACACATATACATAGTTTTTCTTATAATTATTTTAAAACAAAGTAAACTTATGAAAAATCGATTTAATATAAGTAACTACAGAAAATAGTTAAGAATTTTTAAAGGAAGAAAAATAAGAGATTTTAATTTTTGTTTTTTGTTAATCATCATTTTGATGGTTAATACCTTCACCAACCAACAGACGTCTGTTTTTTTTGTTTAACTTGTTACCGATTTGTAAAATGATTAAGAGTTTCATGAGTGAAAATGGCCGTTTAATTATCAATCTCGAGAGATATAATAATATTTGTGAACATATGAAAAACCACAAAGGTAGATGTTGTATCTATAAATAGATTACGTGTGTGTGTCGATATATGTATGCTAATTAAAACAAAATTTATTGTGGTTCACAATCTATTTTGCGTGTCCATCCTAATCCACAACTTAACTCAAATCAAACCTAAATTAGCTTATCAAGACTTCTCTTCTTATTTAATTATTTTTCTCTAGAAAAACATTTTCTCGATGATATAACACTGGAAATAACCGATACATTCTTTAACAAAAACATATAAAATAACCAATACATCAAGAAAATTCTTCGTACTTTAACTTGGTGGAAAACTCTACGGAAATTTACATTCGCATTACAAAAAATATAAAAACAAAACCAAGACTATTCACAGACACAATCATATTCAGAGAAAACCAAAATTACCTAAACGCCCACTTGTCCAAAAACTTTAATTCAGAAATAACACGGAAATGAGTGGCAAAAAAGTCAAGTAAATCCTTTATAAAGTCCCGCGAGTGTTGATCACTTTAATGCATAGAGAGAAAAAGAAAACACAAAGTAAGTGTGAGAAATAGAGAGAAATAGTCTCTCTTGAGTCTTTAAATCATGCAGCTGAAATCAGCACCATCATCTTCTTCTTCTTCTTCTTCCTCATCTTCATCTTCATCCATGAAACTCAAAACCCTAATCCAAAATTTCCTCGCACACCCTCTCTACCGTTTCCTAAGAGCTCTCTCTCGAGCCAAGTCAATCTTTCTAGAGATCTCTAAACACAACAACAGCAAGAAACGAAAACTCATGATGTTTTTCCCAACAAATGCTTCAAAGAATCAACGCAAAATATTTTTTGGATCTTTCAGATTGCATTACAACTGGTGTTCCTCTGATGTTGTTCCTGTCCCTCAACCCTTCCCTTTTCCTGTCTCTGGCATCAATGGTGAAGAAGATGACGAGTCTAACCTCTCTGGTTACCTCGAGTGGCTCGAACACAAGAAAGTCGATGATGTGGAAGAGATCAGAAATATTTCAGCAGCCGATGATGATGATGATATTGATCACTTGGCGGATATGTTCATCGCTAATTGCCACGAGAAGTTCTTGCTCGAGAAAGTCGAGTCCTACAGAAGATTTCAAGAAATGTTAGAAAGGGGTTTGTGAATTATCAGAGGTGAAACATAGATTTTTGAATTTTTTGTCTTATTAATTAATTAATAATCATGCCGTAAAATCTTAGCTAGTTGATGATCTGATAATATACCACAAGGTGGTGAAAGTTGTATCTTGAAAGTTTTGGGGGTAATGTTCTAGAAGGTGAGTCTTTATGGGTGTTATCAGTGAAAGATTTGATACTGTAAAAACAAAAATTTGTTGTTGTCCATCTAATTGGGCACATCTAGTTAAGTTGTGAATTCTGATTACTGTTTGGTAAACTGCGTCCAACTTGCCCTATATACTTTGTTAAGTAAACGAGAATTTAATAAACATAAGAATTACATAAGATATATTGATTAATGATTATTGAAGACAAGACAAGAAAATACCCTCACTGGAATTTTATCGAACAAATCTCGAGAAAAAAATATCTAAAGCAGAATTCACTGTGCCTTCTCAACTACCCATATATCAAATTTTCACCTAATTTTGGACTTTAGAGGACTATATCAGTATCTTGACCCAAAAAAAGAGAGGACTATATCAGTATATTGTGGTTCGTGTAATTACAATAGTCATTTCTCCAAGTGATTAGATGAATCTATAATATGATAAGAGTCGGAGAAGTAAACAGTTTTCCCATATAATGTAGCGATATGCACCGTAAACATCAAATCAGATGAAGGTTAGTTATTGTAATAATATATGTTTTTTTGGGTAACACTACCAGAAAACACAATATTAACAACGAATTTTTACAACGATTTATTTTCGTTGCAATTTTACGACGAATTAACAACGAATTCGTCGTCAATTCGTCGTAAATTCGTCGTAAATTTACGACGATTTTACAACGAATAATAATTTTATTTAATTAAAAAATAATCGTTGTTAATTCGTTGTAAAAAATAATAATCGTTGTAAAATTGTTGCACATTTACAACGAATTAACAACGAACAATTTTTTTATTAAATAAAATCAAATATTCATTGTAAATTTGTTGTAAATTTACAATAGTTTTACAACAAACTCTTATTTTTTAAGTACATTTTACAAAATTATTGCAAGTTTTCTATTATTGAAAAAAATCTTTTCTCCTAAATACTATAATTGTAACTTCTAAAATCTTATTATTTCATGTTTACTTTATATAAATTTTATGTTGATTTATTAAATTTTCACATAAGGAGTGTATATATAATTTATTACAGTATGATCATATATAATTTATTCAAAGTTAACAACGAATTACCGATCATTCGATGTAAATTCGTTGTAAATCTATTTTTTTGTTTTTTTTTAAATTAATAACGAAATTACAACGATTTATCTTAAAATCGATGTAAATTCGTCGTTAATCAAAATTAGAAAACTCCCACATCGGTGGTTTGACAAAATTTCTTATAGTATATATATAAAAAACTCAACACTAATATATAACAAGTTCAGTAATCCATCTTCACCGCCGGAGTCATCACCACCACCACCGGAGGAGCCACCACCGCCGGAGGAGCGACCACTACCGGAGCCACCACTGCCACTGGAGGAGCCACCACTGCCGGAGGAGCCACCATCGCCGGAGGAGCTATCACCACCGGAGCCACCATCGCCGGAAAAATAATAAAATCGTTGTAAATTCGTTGTAAAAATTAAAAAAAAAAATTAAAAAATCGTTGTAAAATCGTCGTAAAATAAATAACTAAAAATAATAAAAATAATAAAAATCGTTATAAAAATAAAAAAAATATAAAAATCGTTGTAAAAAAAAATATATATATATTAAAAATCGTTGTAAAATCGTTGTAAATTAGCGACGAATATAAATCGTCGCTAATTACAACGAATTTACGACGAAATTTGATTTACGACTATCGATTTACGACGATTTGATTTTCATCGTAAAATCGATACAAACACTCATTTACAACGAATATGGTTGCTGTAAATGAGGTGTTTTCTTGTAGTGTAAGAATATCATACAAAAATACTGGGAAAATAATATCATAGATCGATTTATGTAATAGCTTCAAAGTTTACCAATCTTTTTCCTTAAAAAAATACCACTTTACTGGATGCAACAAATACATTATTTTTTTGTTAAAGTGCAACAAATACATAGCTTAATTGTTCAAAAAAAATAATACATAGCTTAAGACTTAAGTGGTGTGTTTAAAAGAAATATGTCATTAATGTTACTTATAAAACGATGGAGCAAAGTAGTATTTCATATATAAACTTGATCTAAACATTACGATACATCATACGTGCGATTCCCTTTTTCAAATGTTTGTATAGACGTCCATTATTGTACTGAAAAGGGACATATATTACCCAGATATTATTTTCTAGAAATTAAAATGATACAAAATGGTAAACTAAAAATATCTTAAATTAAACTTAAACAAAATTGATTTAGTATATATGTGTTGTAACTGGTTACATATCTTGCAAATCTAGGCTGACAACAAAGGAAAAAATCTTGCCATTATAGAGTACCTGCATTTTCTGAATTCTAGAAATCTTGCAAATATATGTTGAGTACTCGCATTTTAATTATACAAATAAATTATCCTTGTGATTCTGTTTAAAGATGGCGTACTTGTCATATATAAACTCTCAGCCTTAACGATATATATCCGTAACTAAGAATAAGTTTATTTGGAGAAGTATAGAAGCCATCTAATTAGTAGCATGTAGCCTGGATTGCTTGTGGTTTTATATTTTAACTAAACCTGATGAGTTCTAATGGATACTTTTCTTCCATTACTTTATTTTCTTCCAAATTCCAATATTCTATTGAGGAGGAAAAAAAATAAATAAAAAATTGTCTTTAGTTCAAAAACTTCAAACAACAAAGTACCAGACTTTATGCGTTGATACTTTGATTATTGGCTTTTAGCTATGTATTTATTTGGCAAAATACATATATTTTTTAGTTGGCCTTTGTATCGAGACTCAAAATTAAGTAATTTTTTTTTACAAGAACAAAAAGATATTTAGTTTCTCACTTTGTTACTAGTTCTCTTGTTTGTTGACCATTAAACAGTCTAAAATTAACCCGTAGAAAGAAGTGACTCATTGAAGTAAACTGTACAAGTATTGTTAGTTTGTTACACAAGCCCTACCTTGTTCCACAAGTCGTATATATCTCGCTTCTTCCCCAAAATCTTCACGCTCTTCTCTCACTCACCTCTGCAACACATTCTTGCGCCAGAGATTGTTCGAGCTTTCCTCTCTCTAATGGCGGATGAGAATGCTAAACAACCAGATCCTCCCGCCGGTATGTCTGTTCAACTGAATCCTCCCCGATCGGCTTGCTTGTAACATTTCGATCACGATCTTCATTAATTAGGGTTTTCGAGTAGGATTAGCTAGGTTTTCGGAATCCTCTGCTTTTCTTTTTCTCTTCTCTCTCTCTGCCATTGATAGAAACGATTGATCGTAAGGGTAGTTTCCTTGTCTGTGAACCGAGCGATCTTGATTCTGTTACTCCTCGTGATGCAGATGATCCAAAGTTTCTCCCAATAAAGAAGAGAGCAATGGCTGAAAAATCAGTTGCTGGGTATAATAACAGAGTCCCCGAGTCAAAGCCAGACCCCGATTCCGAGTCCGAGTCCGAGTCCGAGTCCAGCGATAGCGATAGCGATGACTATGACGATGACGATGACGATGAAGATGGGATGTATCTGTTAGGAGAAGATTACAGCAAAAATACTCTCGTAGAACTAAAGAAAAAGGCTTTATACTCTGTTCTCCGTGCTTTCAGAGCAGAAACCTCGACAACAACAAACGTAAACACTTTCTCTCTCTCGTGTACTCTGCTTCTCGTCATTGAATCTTTCCTCTTCTCTGATTTCATTCGGGTCTTAAGGGTTGTGTTTTTGTGTATCTTGTTGTTCAGAAGAGGACTCAGATCATAGAAAATCTGATGAACCAATGGAACATTGCTGAGGAAACACTTGTCTCTTTGGAGGATAACATTCAGAAAGAACTTTTTGCTCAACAACAAAGGTATATATATATATATATATATATATATATATCCTTTCATCAAAAAGCATTTGACTTTGAAGATGTTAATCACTCCCTTTGTTTAAAGATCCCATTTTTTGTTTCCTCAGGGTTGATTCATCTGCGCCTGATAACAAGGGGATAGTAAAACCGAAGCCAAGGACCATATTTGTAAGGCAGAGAAGTAGACAAACTCTGATTTGACTTGTTATGAAAAAAATCCCATTTTTAACTTTCATTTCTCTTTTATCTTCTCTGTTTGCTTTAGGAGGAAAAGAAGGAAACTTTGATTCCGACTTCTGTTGATAGATTTGGCTCAGGCTGGGGCAGTGTTGATCCCGAGTCTCTTATTGGAAAATTGGTCAGTGTAAGAATGCCTGGTGAAGATCGTTTTGAAGAATTCACGATCCAAATATATGACGCACAACAAGTAATAAACCCTTTCTTGCTTCTCCCATTGCCTTGTTCTCCAAGGAGCAATTTTAAGTAAAACCTACTTTGCATTCTATCCAGGAAATGCATCGTCTAGAGCCCGTATACGTAGAGTCGGATGCAATGAAGATAGATGAGATGCTAAACTGGGTGGATTTGAGAGAGGTAATACAGAAAACTGATATATATATATATATATATATATATATATATTATCATCTCCTTTCATCGAATAAGAAGATGAAAATCTTATATCTCAAACTGATTTATCTGCAGATTCCGCCTGAAGAGATCATGTGGGAGGGTGGAGAAAGGCCAAATTTTGATTCCACCTACGATTGTTTCCCTCGCCGATGATTACATTTTTGAGATCAATGATTAGAAGCAACTTTGATGAGGTAACTTTTTCCAACACACACATTCTCAGAGAAACTCTTAAACAGTATAAGAGAAACTTACCATTGAAACTCCTGCTTTCGGTGCAGGACAATGGTGAGAAGAGAGACTGACCAAAACCCTCTTATGCACTTGTTAGAGGTCTTTGAGTACTTTGTACAGTCACTGAGCACACTTTTCTTTTTGGTGTTGTTTTGCTGGAATTTAGAGAAGAAACGGGTCGGTGTAAAGTGTAAACAAGATTTCAGTAGCTTCTTTTGTTGTGAATAGTTGCATCATTAACAAAAAAAACTTGATTTTACTAGTTGATCATTGAAGTAGCTAGCTCACCACCTCCTTGAATTCTTGTTCGTGCGAGAAAATAGTTAAGTATTGAAATACCTCTTCTCTTCCTTTTCACCGGCCTCTCTCTTTAACAGAGGTTTCTTCTTCCTCACCCCTTCTCTTTTGAGGATTCTTCCTCTTGTGTCGTCAAGTGACAGTAATTTCAAGTATTAAAAATTGTTCGTTGTCGTAAAAAAACAAAAATGTTCGTTTGTGAAATTAAAATGAACAGAATAAATATGCCTAACCACATATTAATTCTCGAAATTTGCTACTATCGAAACAAAGAAAGAAGAAATTTGCTATTATCAGGTATCCGTCAATACTATTCCAGTATATCAATCTAAACAGTAATGACTATTGGTTAAATGAAGTTTAGATTTATTGCAGTTTAGTTCGTAATAACTCTATATTCTTTAACTTTTTAAATCACCTGACCTGAGTAAAGAAACTGCTGACGTGGCAGTACTTAATCCCGATTAAGTCAAGTTTATCAAAAGCCCAACAGCAACAAGCCCTACTTTCTAGTCTTTCTTCCACAACAAGTTTACTTTCTTTACATTTCCCTCGTAAACCCTTAGGACTTTCACGTCAAAACAAAATCCATAATCTCGCTACTCTTCTCTCTGCAACATTATTGGAGATCGTTCTCGTTCTCTGCAACTTTTTAGGGTTTCTCTCAAGATTCATCAAGAAGAGAAGAAGAACACCATTCTCGGCTTCCTCTCTTCGCTTGGTTCTCTACAATGTCGGACGAGAAAGATCAAGCCCCAAATTCTCCACCCCGTAAGTCTGTTCAATACTTTCTGATGCTTCTCGATCAATTAGGGTTTTAAGGTTTCGGATTCCTCTGTTTTCATCTTCTTTCTCCCTCTCTCTTGTTCTCTCCCACTGACGGAATTGACTGATCGGTGGTGATGTTCTGGTGATCTAGATTCCGTTGCAGAAGAATCAACGGGTCTCACTGGGTCAAAAGCCGAGACTATGTCGAGCAATAGCAATTCCGATGATTTCTTCTTCCACATGAGCAAGAAAAATAATCTTTACGAACTCCAGAGACAGGCTTACTATGATGTTCTTTACGCCTTCGCGGCAGAATCTTCTGCAATATCCAGCGTAATACATCGGTCTAATCTTTCATGTTTCTTATCCACTGATTCGGTTCTCGTTCTCGGAGGTTATGCTCATAGCTCATGTTCTGATTTTTCAGCCTGGGATTACGATCATCAAGGAACTGAAGAAAGAATGGAACATTACCTACAAAATTCATAACTTTTTTCAGGAAGAAATCAAAGCTGATCCACTGGTCCAAAAATTGAGGTATCCAAGCTTTTACTACCATAAAGATGTGATCTTCTCTCCTTTCTTCTCTGACCTTTCTTCTCTGTTTATTCAGGAGAATATCACTGGCTTCCGATGACAAGGAAAAGCAGAAAGTCGCTGCAGCCGAAGAACAGAAAACTACTGCTGTACAAGGCACTAAATTGAAACCCCGTCTGATTTTGAAAAACGACGACCTACTCCAATTGGTAGGTTTTGTAACATCATCTCTTTCCAAATCCTGTAGCCAACAACTCGATTTGGCTTTAACTTCCATTGTGTTTTTTTTCTTTTCTGTTTGCTTAGCTTGAAAAGCTAAATGTAGCTCCTACAAAGATGCCAAAAGAAAAGGCAAAACCGAGTTCTTTTCCTGACGATTCAACTATCCTCAGCTGGGGCCAAGTTTCTCCTGCGTCTCTTGTTAACAGATGGATCAACATAAGAATGCCTGGTGAATCTGATTACACTTCATTCCTCATCGAAGAGTATAACCCCAAAACGGTATAAATATCTTCATGTTCCTTGTGTTGTTTTCATCAGCTCAGGTCTACGCCATTCTAAGAAATGTTGTTTCCAATATACAGGAAATGCACTACCTGGTCACTGCTCCAAGCAAAAACGATTTGGTTGACCTTGACCCGTGCAATTGGATTGATATCAGACATGTAAAATCAAAATTGTTGCATGTCTTTTCTTCCAAGATTTCTATTTTTTCCTTAACTTTTTCCAGAAGCTTAAACCCCTGAGATCTTAAACTCATTGCAGTTTCCGGCAGAAGATGTTGTATGGGATGAGGAACATCCCGGGTTCCCATCACGTAAAGGCTTTCTTAAACCAGGCGAAACTATCTTGCACGCAACCAGTACAGCTCGAGAAAAGAAGCAACTTAAGGAGGTATCTTGCAAAACAGCTCCAGCAAAATTTCTTAAGATGCTAAACACTTCACTGACACATTTTTGTTCAATAAACCCTCTGATAGGTTGGAAAAACTGCCAGTGGGATTCCTATTATTATGAGAAAGCTTGATAAGGGAAAGTCTATATGCACATGAGCAAAGTCTCCACAGCAGTAGGATGTAGAGATGGCAGATGGATGACAACAATCCAGACCGGAACACTCTTATAACCTTGTTTGAGATCTTTGGTTCTTATACAATGAATAAAAACACATGCTACCTGAAACTAGCAAATTCTCCTTTGTAAACAAGATTCCAGTACTTCTTTGTACATGACTGCCTTATAAACTTGTTAGCAGATTCTTGATCCTATGGAAGAATAGTTAAGTGTTGCAATGATTCATAGCCTCCTTGAACGCTTCTTTGGGCGAGCTGAAGAACCTGCCTCCTTTTTACTAGTTTCGATGCCCCGCTTTGCCACCATAGGAGAAGACGGGGCAGCGCTTCTTTTAGAGGCGGCGCTACTGTTTTTCTTTGCAGGACTACCCTTTTCAACTGTTGGCTTCTTCCCGGTTGCTCGTTTCTGACTTCCTGCATCACCTTTGTCATTCTTACTGTTACCTCTTCTCTGTTCAGCTCCTTTCTTACCATTAGAGGAATCTGCCTTCATTGTCTCTATCACAGTTTCAGACGAAGAAACCCCTTTCATTCTCTTTAGAAAACTAGCAGCACTTTGCTTTTTTGATCCACCATTTGTGTTGTTACCTTTCTTTTCTTGATCGGTTTTCTTCGGCTCAGAGCTATCGTTTGAAGACCGGCCTTTACTAGGGAGACCAGCATTCAAACTGGTCTTAACGTTTCTGTTTCCGACTTTTTTAGCTGTTGAGCTTGTTCTCCCTCTAGCCATCTTCTTGGAAACAATAGGTTCCTGATCTTTGTCAGAGGTTTCAACTTCCTCGTCAGCCTCTGAAGCTGGACTCTCATTCATTGATGGAACTACTTTAGTCTTTTTCTTGAACGGTTCGGCGACTGACGCTGAAGATTTAACAGCCAAGGAACTACGTTTCCGACAAGCTGTAATAGGCACTGACATTTTCGGTCTTAGAGACAATTGAGGTGAAGAGACTGTGACTTCCTCCTTAGACGTCACCAAAGATTCCTCTTTTGGTGGTGAGGTTTGTTTAGGAATCTTGAGAGTCGTCATCTGTTTCTTGATGAGTTGGTTAAGCTCCTTTGCAGAGTTATACTCAGAAGATTGCTCGCCACAAAAAACCCTCGCATTGTTGATTAGTAGCAGTAAATCTCGAAAAAACTTGCTCCTGGAGCTTTCGTAATAACCTTCTTCCACACGAGTTCGAATCATCTCAAAGTCTATGTGCTGTCTTATTATCATCTCGTACCCAGGTGTTTCCTGCAGCTTCAGAATCAAACAAGACATTAAGACAAGCCGTATGATAGTAAATTTATCTTGATACTAAACTCTAAAATAAAGACTGCAGATTATAGTTCATTTAAAAAAAAAAAATTATCAGTAATCATTTGCTATTGTGTTTCGGTCATTATCAATTTGCCAAGATAAAGTTGTAACCAAAAACATGGAATTTAAGTTGCTTTTTTATAAAACGATATTTAAATCGTTGTCAAAAAAAAAGGGACTTTTAATTTTTACCTGGCTCTCGAGCCGGCGCGAAAACAGGGAGCCGCGCGAAAACAGGGAGCCAATGGGGTGAGTCTGAAGAATCTCGATGATATCAATTAACGGCCGAGATTCAATCGGGATTCTATTGACGGTCAGAGATTGATCCTCGTTATCCGGTTGGTATTGTTCTACCGTTTCCTTTCTCGGCAAGCTCACCGAGCTCTGCACATCACTCGTTTCTTTCGCTTCTTCTTCTCCCTTCGACTCGTTCATTGACTCAACAAACTCGGGCGAGTCATTTCCCTCTCTTCCTGAGTCTGCTCTACCCGAGTTCCCCGCCGATTCCTTCGCCACGCTCTCGCAACTTCCTTTACCCGAATCCTCTCTGGCCGGTTTCTCGTCTCCGCCGAACCGGTTCGGTTCTTCGTCCACTGGCTCGACGATTTTCCAATCTCGGTTTGTGTTCTCCGATCCGGTTCCGAGACTGTTGTCCTTCAGACATGGAGAACTAGGCGGCTCGGTGACCGGGACGCCGGAGCCGTTACTCGATTCACGGTGGATCTCTTTCGTCTCGGCGATTTTACCTAGATCTGAATTCTCGGTTTCCTTCTCCGACTCCTTCAAGCTCTTCTCTCTCTCATCTTCCAATCTCTTCACCTTCAACTGCAAGGACCTGCGTAACAAAATCCCCCGATTCAAAAACCAAGGTGATGCAAATCTGGAAATCGAAATCAGAAAGGGCCGTGCGGAGATTACGAGATGGATAGATCGTAACGTTCGACTTCGCGACGGAGCTCATCGACACGGAGCTTTCTCAATTCCTCAAGCCAGGGAACGGAAGAGATCTCGGCGACGGTTTCTCCATCAGCGGAAGAGAATCGTCGCTTGATGTGGTTGTACCTGTGACGACAGTCGAAGGCGGTGAAGGTACGAAAAGCGGAGTTGTGTTTCTGGATTTCGGCGGCGACGGAGTCCCATGAATCAGTACCGTAACGGTGAACGGCGCAGGCGAGGAGGAGCTCCTCCCATGTGCTCCATGTTTGTGTCTCTCGACAATTTTCGTCGTTTTCCGGTTTTGCCATTGACACAGACAGTAAAAATTAAAAGGTTTTTATCGTTAAAAAAGGAACAGAGTGGATTTGCGCTTATTGTCACTTCTCCAATTTGTAAATGGTTCGTCCTCCACTAAAAGACCTTTGGAACTGATTAATTTTTTATTTTAATTTATTTTTGGTTATTGGTTTTGGTTCGTCGGATGAAATAATTTCGTTGATAAAGTGTTCGTACAAGGCGCACCGATTGAGAAAATGTTAAAACAACTTTGCTCGTTTTGTCTTATCATGTAGTGGGCCGAACCTTAACCACTGGACTGGACTCATGACCGATTTGGAAACCAAATACCCCAAATCAAGAGTGTCCAATTCTGTGTTTATCGAATCATGCAAGTGCACCAAGCTGTGGCACTAAGCTCTACCAAATAAGTGCAAAAATCTTCTGATTCAAAATCCATATGATTCGATCTAATCCAACCACACTTGCCCTTGTAGTACATTCAAGCTCATTGCAAACAAGAATAACCAATCAAAGCTTTACATTGATGGATATAATGCTAATTCAAATCACGTCATTTCAAGTTCAAAACACAATCTTTCCCATATTAAACTCTAGCAATTTCATGGAAAGATCCAAAAACAAGTTCTGCAAATCTTTTTTTTTAAAACAGAAATTTAACGCATATATACAAAAGCCATAGCTAAATTAAGAAGAAGAAGAAGAAGAAGAATGTAGTGCAGTTCGAATAAAACTTTATCTAAAGCTCAAGTTCATGGCGAGTACCAAACACCATCGAAGCTTCAAGCAGCTCCTTTCAAGGCTTTCTTCAGCTCTTCTGCCACGTCACCCTCTTCCTTGTTTTTCTTCCCGCCGTAATCCGACGACGCTCTCTCGCTGCTCCACCGGTCAGCTCTCGATCTTCCGTTGTTGCTGTTATTGCTGCTCCTCTCGGATTCTCGGTACTTTGAGTGCGATCCGTAATCTATCGTCGCCGGCGAGAATGGACGGACGTTTGCTATTACTCCTCGGAGATCCTCGACGGCTCTCTTCAACTGTCTATTCTCTGATCGAAGCTCCTCGAGAGCCAAAGACACCTCCGCCACTTCTCCACTTCTTTTCGGTAGACCCGGACCCGAAACAGAACCCGGGTCGGTCTTTGATTTGGGCTCTTTAGCATCTGAGCCGTCAACGTGTTCGATCCCTATTTTATTCATCACGAGAAAAGGGAATCTCCTAAGAGAAATCGCAGCCGTTGGATCAAAATCTCGCCTTATCTCCGTTGGAACCCTAACGCCCCACCTGAAATTCACGACGGCGCGTCCTCTCACAGGCAAAGACGTCCTAGCCGCTACCTCGACGCCGGTCAGCAACCCGGCGATGTCTCCGGCAGAAGTCGAAGGCAAAACCGTGACTTTTCTAAATCCACCGCCGCATCCGTTGACCGCCGGCGAATCCACCACCTCGATCGAGGAATCCTCCTCCGAAACAGATCCGTTGATCGGATTGATCAGATTTCCGTCGAAGCCAGACGAAGAGTGAGACTTTTTGATTGAGAAGTCGCCGAATTGTGGTTTGAAGTGAAGCATGAAGCTAGGGTTACCTTTATTACCGAGGAGGTTGAATTCGGCGCTCATGAGCATGGAGCTTGAGATTGGCGACCCGAAAGATCCGGTTCCGGTTTTGACGATTAGGGAGAAAGGGTTCCACGAGTCGTTTGGACGGTAAGCGATCTTGAGAGATGGCCCAGATTCGAAGAAAGTTGAGAGATTGAGACTGAGCTCTTTGGATTCTCCGGCGACGATTCCAGATTGAAACGGTAAACCTAAGATGCTTAGAGGAACCTTAGCCCTGAAAAGAGGCTTCTGTTCCTCCCGAAACTTCATCGACGCCTTCATCTTCTTCGCCGCACAAATCCCCAAATTCAAAAATCGAGAAAAGAAATTGATCAATTTTCCAAACAAGTTCCTACGGAGAGTGTAGTGATCTAGTGGAAAATTTTATACGAGTTTCAGAGACTCTTTCTACTACTAATCTAAAGGGAAATTTTCATATATCTTATTTTTTAAAGAAAAACTCAATGGAAAAGTTCCAATTTTCTCCTAAGAATTGGAAATTTTGTAATATTGTTATCTTTTGTGGTTGGACATGAGGCTAGAGGCTCCAGAGGTCAAGCCTTTTCCGTTTTTACCCTCGTGTTATAAAAAGAATAACGGTTAACACCTGCTGGTCTGTGCTGTAATTATATGCAAGTCACAAGGCGAAAAGATAAGGCGCGTAAATGCTTAAAATGAATGGTGGACAGATCCCTGGTGTTTGGTTTCTTTTGTTTCTGTTCTGCTTCTGTCGTTGCTGTGTTTATTTTGTATCCGTTATACGTGATAGATAATATCAAGCCCGTAAAAAATTGGGCCAAAGTTTATACTAATGAGGCCTATAAGCTTAAGCTGCTCTCTTGTTTATTTCTCTCGCACGCCGTTTGTTTTGTTTTTTTGGGCCTTTAAATTTTTCAAATAGATTTTAAGAGAGTGAAAAGGGAATAACTAAACCCTTTAGCGATGGCTGATGAAGAACCTATGGGATTCTTTTCTTTCGTGCACATTTAGAGATGAACCTGTTCATTTATCTTGACTAGATAAACATATTTGAATCTGCATATATGACTAGATTACCATACTTATATCTGTATATATTTTATCCTCCCTTTTTTAACATTATATATGTGAGAGTTTAAATGTTAAGTTGGTTCGTCATTGTAGTTCATCCATTGTAGTTGCAGTAAGAAGTAAGGTCTATAAGGACATTACAGTAATTAGGGGTAGAATAAGAATCAGGTTCGTCATCTATGCTAGAATTTGTAAGTTTACGGAGCAAAGCAGATTTAAAAAAGTAGCTAGGATGCATCTGATAGTGATATGATAATATCTCATGCATGACTCTTTGCAATACTATCATTAAAGTTATCAAACAAGTTACTATCATTTCCTCAAATTAAGTCATGGGCAGTTGGATTTACAAAAAAAAAAAAAAAAAAAAAGAAGGTAATCATAGATTCATATTGACTTTGTTGACAGAATACAAAAACCAAAAAAAAATATGCAACAAAATAAAATAAAATAAAGTTTGTATGTTGGGGGTCCACATTCCAGCTGAGCAGAGATGTACAAAAAGATTGGAAGAGGGAACCACGTCAAACAAATACGGGGAGGACCACAATCTATACAGCTTAGATATGGACGCGTGTCTAACATCTAACGGCGTAGTTACCCGCATGTGGGCCGAATCTAGAAGAGAGCACAAGACTCTCGTGTGTTCGACTCTGTGTCTCTGACGCACGCCGTTGCTGTACAAACCAGACCCCTTCATTAGTTTAAGTGTTAAGTTTCAGCTCTCTCTCTCTTTTTTAATTCTAGCCGTTGGATGTCTTTCATATCTCTACTCTTCACTTCTACATCCAACGGCAATTAATCGTTGTATCTTGTAGTGATCGTTCACCATTGAAGTCTATTTCCCTGTATATTTATATATAGCTTACCTAATATTAAAAAAAAACAACCATAGTTTAATTTAGTTCGAACTATCTGAGACAAAGTTCAGATCGTGCGACAAAAACCTAGGGGGTTATTTAAGGTTTAATTTGTTTTTATTAAGATGATCGATACACGTATATGTACTCTAAGTACCAATTTTTGTGTTGAGGTATTTTAGTTATATATAGTAGGACGCTAGTTGTCTTCGTTATTTTATTTTCTTGTAAAGTTGTCATAGCTACATATATTAATTAATGATATATATATATATATAGCTATGCCTATGCGTATTGGTATAAAATTCTTTTCTTATTCGTGGTTGATCACTAATATAGTTAAGTATATGAGCTTGTTGTATATAGATTTCGATTTGTTTTAGATAACTAATATATATATATATATATGATATATGTAATAAATTGTATATACAGTAACTATATATATAGTACGTTAGATGAGATAATCCAGAAAGATATATATATATAATATATAAGTAATAAAACATTTTTGTTAAAATTAATTATTAGTATTAATCCTTTCTTTTCTACTGGTAAAATAAAGTTGTCAGTTTTGATAAAGAAGAAGGAAAAGAAGAAAACTTGTCAAAAATAGACGCACGGAAGTGAAAGTGTGAAACTGCCTCGTGCATTATGAGAAGAAGGACGTAAGACAACTAAAGGTAAAAGGTGAGTGAGAATCACCGCAGAGTCATGCCATCTCCATGTCTTCACATTCTACTTTATCATTTACCTCCAACTTTTCTACATTATATTTTGTCTCCATTTGATGATTAATATCTTCTTTTGTTTTGTTTTTTTGTTTGACAAAGGGCTAATATCTTCTATTGTTCTCAAATGGTCTTCTTTAATATAAACTCATGTGAATACATTAGGATGTGTGTATAAGGTAGTTACTTTGAAGATTGAACTATCAATTATATCGTTTCAACACACAATGCAGTTTTTTTTTCTTTTTTTTTTTGTGTGGCTAAAACTTAGTTAGAAACTGATGTGAGTTGAAGGTCCATAATATACTAATCTATGCCAAAATTGATATATATCATGACTAACATAATAATATAAATATAAGTAAATTTACTTTCATATACACCAATTATATATATATATGTTTTGTTTCACATTGAATTGTTGAGTCATATTATTATAATATGGGTATACATAAAGCCGTATTAATTCTTAACAGGTTAGTTAATTAATTCATATTATCAAGAAGTTTAGTACTTGTGGAAAGAACAAAAAAAAATACAATCATAAGTTTGTTGAGTTTGTGTGCATTACATGGGGCCAAGTTTGTGAAATCTTACTTATTTGTTTAATCAATGAATTAGGACCACCTGCATTAATCTATTATACACTAGCACAAACAGACACAAAACATAAAGATTTCAATTATTACGTTAAATATTAAAATGAGATATTAAAGAAATTACAACATGAGGACTTGGTTAGTGGGAGGGGATATGCCCTTCTTGTTCGTCTGTTTCATATATTGGGAGGCATACTTACACAGTTACACGAAATTAATTAATCCGACTAGTTTCATTTTTTTGTTTGTTTGATTAACAAGTGAATTTATTTTAATCAAATTCAATAAATATATATCAACAAGAGTACAAGACCAGAGATTTCTGTTAACTACATATGTTTGTAACTAACATAGAGAATTTACGTGGCAACTATAATAAATTTGAATATGTGTTTTGACCACAACGTGGGTTTCCCGGTTATCAACTATAACAACCATTAAATTAGTTGCCAATCGCTAGTTCATATATATAAACTCCACATATCACAGTATTTAACAGGATTTAAAATACTGATCAAGAGGAATGGTTTAAGATAATAAAAGTGTTTGTTGCTTATCATTTCCTCTCCTCCTATATAAGCTTTACATATATCCACTTACAATCACATTCACCAACTCTCTCTCTCTCTCTCTCTCTCTCTCTCTCTCCCTCTCTAGGAAAGAAACCCTAATTATTTCTAAAAATGGAAGCCACGATCTTCGAGAAAAGAAGAACCTCAACATCAACCATAGCGATGCACAAACAATCATACTCAATAACCAAATCAAAGCCAAAGATCCGAATAATTCACATATTTGCTCCTGAGATCATCAAGACTGACGTTGCCAACTTCCGTGAGCTCGTGCAAAGCCTAACCGGCAAACCAGAAGAACGTGGCGTTTCCAAAGCAAAACATAGAAGAGACATTCAGCGTCAAGTCCAAGACATGATCAGCATGGAGTCACTAAGAGAACCCGACCATGGTGATCAAAGGTTTTGCTTAAACTCGGAAATGGAAGATAATGAAGAGATCTCGATGACTTGGAACGGTAATAATGGCGTTGGTGAGAGCTCAGGAGGGTTCTTGAATGGTTTGGGAGATTTCGAAGGGCTTATCCAAGAACTTGGTGAATTTCCTTATTTGCCCTTGTCCATGGACGCTTCTGCTTCTTCTAATTCGTCTTCTTCCTCTCATTTACATGGTGGATCAATTTTCTCAGATTCTCGTCACCAATTCGCGTAACTCTTGTCTCTCAAACGAAGTAACAGTCTGTTTTCTTGTTTAATTTGTGTCTTTTATTCTGTTTATTAGGTTTTTTTTGTGGAAATAAATTTAATTTATTATTATTTTGTTTAATAGGAGACTAATTAATTTATTTGATGAAGAGCTTAGACTCCATTTTATGTCTCCATTAATGTCTTACGATTTGTTCATCGTGTTAAACACTAATACATGTCATTTAAACTATTTATTGTATCCATTTTTAGTTTGTTTTCTTCTACGTCCTCTATGCGATTTTGACACAAAAGTACACGCTACTGATTGAATTAGCATCTCTTTCAAAATATTTGCTTGAAACCCAATTCCTAATACTATAGAGGGAAGAAAAAACATGAAAAGATAGTCTTCGAAGGAGGACCTGTAAACTCCTCTTTTGTTCAAAGTGATGACAAATTTTTGATAATCGACTTAGACAAAAGACAACGTAGAAGAAGAAAAGAGGTCTCAGTGTGTCCGGAGATATATGTATTGTGTTCAAGGTTGGTAAGTTGTATACACTTTTTTTCTCTTTTACATTTACAGACAGAAACAGGGTAACATATGCATGGACCTGTTTCTAACTGTTGTATTCAAGATTATCTACAATGCTTGATGAAGACGATGTTTCCACCCTCGTCAGTACTTCAGGCACTCCCGCGGTATCTCTTACAATCTACACAACAACAACAGAGAAGACCCGTTTAATATTTTGGTAAGCTTCAACTTCAATGAACATAACATTTTCATGAACTTACAAGAATCTCGTCGTCTAGATAAGATATCATGAAGAATCTCTGGTAAGATCCACCTGAAAGTCCAACACCGCGTGGTTACAATGTTACCTTGTGAGGAGGAAAAAGTTAAAATGTTGGTTATGGCTTACCAAGTGGAATTCTTAGACCATTGGTTAGAGTGCCCTTGATAGGTTCAGGAAGCTGCTGCAACGTGGTGGTAGCTTGACCAAATAAACCTCTTAGCTGTTCAGGTAATGCTTCTTCGATCACCGTTGGCGACTCGAGCATTCCCTCTAGATACTCTTCTCTCATCCTCAAAGGCCCTTCCACTGTCAGTTTCGATGACAGAATGACTTTGTTTTCTATCTGCATTTTTTTTTCCAACAGAGACAAATAACTTTTTTTTTTTAAGTGTGCATTATAAATCCATAGTTCTTATCAGGGAAGAGTATATTAACCATGTTTAGCAGTTTGATGTTTGCGGTGGCCTTTGTGTTAGCATCCTTAATGACTATGTCCATATTGGATAGACTCGCCAATGTGGAAGGAAACCTCCTGAGACAATTCCAAACAGATAAGAGGAATGCTTACAAAAAAAATGTAGGGATATGAACAAAATGTTTCTAAGCTTATCGATGAGCAGATTGTAAGAAGACTGACTCGAATATAACCCGAGCAGCAAGTGAGCCAGGAGTGTTGGATCCAAACCACTCGAAACTCCATCTCCCTTCAAGATAAGGAGACCTGGAAAGCTATTAGGAACCAGTTAATGGCACTGTCCCTAAGAAAAAAGCACATAAGACCTTAAAAACCTGAAGCTGAAATCAAGACACATACGTGGTTGGTCTAGGAGTTGGGTTAAGACGCTCAAGAGTCGTTATCCTCTCATTCACATCAATCTTTTGCAAATCAGTGATCTTCCCTGTAACTAAAGCCTCGAAGCCTCCAGCATCATTGAACTGTAATCTAAAAATGGTTTTCAGAAATCTAACAGAGAGAATCAAAAACACTATTTCACTAATAAAGTTGCAACCTTTTAATTTCCATCCAAGCAATCTAAGAATTTCCGATACCGGATTACCAAATTCAACCTAATTCTCACCAATTTCTAAGCAACGGGGACATAAGGAGAGCATCTCAAAACTTCAAATTCAGATTTTGGAAATCAAAGACCTAAATACGAGAGAAAAATAAAATGGTATTTAAGAATGACTTTACGGCTAGAATCAGCGATTCCTTAGCAGAGAGACGCTCCATTTCTCTGGCGTAAACCGAAGGAATCCCTTGAATCGCCTCTTGAACCATAGCTCTACATATCATTCTCCGGCAGCAACTCCTCCTCCAACCCTTCTTCTCCGGCTGAAAATTGAGAGACGACGGTGGTGACGCGGCGGATGAGAAGCTCAACCGAACCGCACAAGTCCCAGAAACTGAACCATGTTGTATCAATGCCATTGAAGAAAAAGAAGGTAGAAAGGGGAAAGTCAAAGATTGGTTTGATATTTCGCTGCGTTCTGAGGAATGAAGAAGAAGAAGACGAGAGAGAGCGAGCGAGCTGAGTCTTTTATTTACTGTTTAATTTAATAAAGAGGACTCGCAATCAAATGTGGCCAATCATCTTTAGTCAATGTGGATTATCAGATTAAATTAGCTTTTCACATGTTTATTAGTTTTTCATTGTCAATAAATAATACTAATAATGTGGTTATTTTAAAGAGTAATATCACTATATACTAATAGATAATATAAAAATTAAGTGGTCTTGAAAAGTGGTTTTGACCACATACTATTCACTGAAAAAAGTTCATAAAACCCATAAGACATATATCTGAAAAATTAAGTTTTCTCTCATGCGGTAGATCTTAAAGATACGAAAAGGTGTCAAGAAATATTGTGTATATTTCACATACAATTGTTCGCTGTAATCGAAACAAAATAGAGGAAAGATAAAACAACAAGGTCAATAGAGAGAGAAAGTAGTTATTTACCATTTTTTAGTTGGGTCCAACTAAATTACAGATGCTCTCTTATATTTTACATCACTAACTAATATGTTAACATATTAACAATAATATTGTACTTATAACATTTGGACAATACTTGTTATTATTGTTACCACGCTATCAAATATCGGATAACACGCCAACAAACACTACATATTATTGTTAACATTTTAATAAATATCTGATATTATTATTAGCACGTTAACAAATATCATATATTTTACTACACCATAGTAACAAACTATGTTAACATGTTATAATACTTAGATATTATTGTTAACAAGTAGAAATATTAACATATATCATTGTTAACAAATATAGATGTTAACATATGTCATTGTTAACATGTAACAATAAGTATTGTTAACATGTTAATTTGTATTAGCATAATCCGGACAAATGATAACACTCATATGTAGTTATCGGATATATATACATCAAATTTAGCAAACGATAACCATAATACATAAACCGTTATATCGCATCTACCACATATGATACACCATATCTTGTGGCAGGTGACAGGTGTCATTATCCAGAAAATAATTATCAAGACTATCTCTGATCCCAACTGACGAGCATTAAATGCTGCTGTCGGTTAATTTCTCTTTTTTTTTTGCAAATGTAGTGACGTCAATTGGATGTATGGGTAAAAATGTGAAGTTTTGCTGATGTGGCATAAGCCACTTAATTTTAAAATATCTTTTGGTATATATTTAATTAAGTGGTCAAATTTTGGTATATACTAAATGATCCTAAAATTTATAACCTCAAAATTTACTGTTATAAGAAAAATGTGACATACTATTTCTTACAAGAAAAATGTGGTTATTTAATTTTGTTTTTGTGTGGCTTAGACAAGTGTCTTTCCTCAACAATATGATCAAATGTATGCATTGGTATCGGTACATAGAAAACCGATATCAAACCGGATAAACGGGAGGCGGATTTTCCCACAAAGATTTTCCCACAAAAGTTGTCAGCATTCATACCTCCAAACCTTTAAAACATAGTCTCCCATTATTTGTTTGAGCTTAATGTTTTTGTTTTGAAATATAAATGTTTAGAAAAAAAAGGAAAAACTTACAATACGTTAAAAAGAAAACTTGCCATTATAGTACGCGTACTTCGGAAAATTGGCCTATGCCAACTTAATCTATTGAAAAATGTTAAATTTAAACCTAAACAAATTTTCTGGTGTAAACATACTTAATTGTTATAAAAATTTGAATTTCATCCTTAAGCTATTGTTTTTGTGCGTAAACCAATTTCCATCCAATCAGTGTTAACAATCCGTTAAACGAACGTTTATGTGACATCCACGTCATCAACGGTGTCGTTTTGGATTTGCGGATTTAACAAAAGAAAACTAAAATTGTTTAGTTATAGGAGAAAACGGCATCGCTTTGTTTTTTTTTTTACTTCCTCCTCTTTCATTCAAACCTTTGACACTCGACGGCAACATAATCGATTTAGGGATTCAGAACCAGTCGGAAAAGTACACTCATTCATAATTTTATTCGAACTGCTCTCTCATGTATTCCCAATTCGATTGGAGAAGACGAAGAAGAGAAAAAACCTAAAGATAAGAAAATTAGTTCCAATAAGAGTCTACTACAATGAAGCTGAATCTGACGGTGTCGTCTCTATCAAATTGAATCTCTGTTTTTTGTGTATCGTGTGTTTTGTTATTGAATTTCTTTCTAAAAAAAACTAAAATTTGTTCTGGAGTGTAATTACATATGCCTATGCTTTTTTTGTTGTCTATGAATATATTTCAATGTCAAGCCTATACAATTTCTCGGACCAAAAAACTTGATATAACCAGTACGATTAGATCCTAAATCGCTGCAGTTTCAAGCTCTGCCTGCAATCTCTCTTCTTCTTCTTCTTCCTCCTCCTCTGCAATATCTGTCCAGCTCGTCTTAGATCCACTCTTCATACAATCTGCAGTATCTTTGATATAAGCATCAGCATGTTCCAGGTGTATTTTCCAGGAACACCTCGGAACACCTTTGCATCTTCGTTTTGCTTTGTTAATTTTTACAGCAACTGCCGTTTTATGTTGCCGCAGCCGCCGATGCAGCGTCCGAGAAAAGAACAGACCCATATTCATGGAAATTATGAATCATGTTCTGGTCGAGTTTCTTTTCCTTCTTGGGTTATTTTTCATAGTTATGTAGCTGTAAATGAACCCAGCTGAAGTTTCCTAGTACCCTAAAATGTGGAATGAACAATGGAGAAGACAGTTCAAGAGACAAAAGTACTCATTAAGAGAACAAGAGAGGAGTAAATTGTCACCTTGTTTTCTCTTGCTCGATAGTCATTGTGACATGTTTGCCTTATCTTTTTAGCTCTAATAAATCTACCACTAAGTCCCATTCCTTGTTCGAGTGATTTCAGTTTGTGCAAAGTAATTCAGCTTCTTCTTTGATCCTCTCTGACTTCTGCAAAAACCCATTTTCACATATTAACACTAAAGAAAACATACATAACACTTGCATAATAATAAAAAAAAAGAAGAGTTGTTCTCAATTACTTTGTATAGTTCGAGGAGTATGTTATCAATGGAGTCTTGAGCCTCGAAAGGACAGAGATACCAAAAGGACTTGATGGCTTCAATTCCTTCATCAGATTGGTTTAACTGTTTTATCACAACCGCCATGTCCTTCAATGCACTATCGACTCAATCTCCAATGTTTATTGCAGCCCAAAATATTTTTTTCTGCCTCTTTGTCATCTCCGATCGAATTGGGGATACATAAGAGAATGAAACTTCTGCTTTTAAAGAATCATTCTTGGATTTACCGGTTTTCTTCTTGGGAGTTGTAAAATTTTTGGATTTCTTCAACTCCTCTTCATCGTCGTTGGTCATGAAAATTCTCTTACCCATTTCGTCCTGATTTTTTTTTTCTTAACATTGCGGATGTGGCGGCCACGTCAACAAGACTTGACCGCTCTTGGTCTCACCTACGTTTTAGCATAAAAACAAAAGTTTAGATATGAAATTCAAATAACTAAGAACTTGAAGAATGTTTAACCACCAGATAAAGTTTAGAAATGAATTTAACATTTTTTCATAGTTTAAGTAGAAAAAAGCCAATTTTCCTGCGTACTTCATATCGTATTAATTGATGTTTTAACATACATACTTATTTCCATTAATTTGTTTTCTTGGGGAAAAAATGGAAAGAGTCGTCGTTCCCATAAAGGACGATACTCAAATCTAACTTAAGAAATTATACATTGCAGTATAGTAATTAATTGAGGTAATTAAGTCACGCTGCCACGCTGCCAAATTAATTGATGTCGAGTATATATATTAGCTGAGGCTTGGATCCATGCAAAACTCCAAGTTGCTATTTTCTTGAAGTTTTCTTTTCTCCGTTACAGTTTGAAATCAAGAGTGCTTGCTTGTCCTGTTTCTACGAGTTCCTTATTTTCCCTGAAGAAGATGATGAAGTCTTCTTCCTCACTCATGAAGATTATGGTGAAATTCATGACCGCCGGTCTGATCCTAGCCCTTTTGATAACTTCCGTCGCCGCAAGAGGTGGTGGTGTGGTCGTGGCGGTGGTGGTCGCGGTGGTGGCATATTTTGGTTCGGTCATCATAAGAATCATGGTAATAGCGTTTCCGATGACGGATCAAATATGGTTTTGACGATGACGTGTGTGTTGTCTTGTGTTTTGTTTACGCTGCGTTTATAAAAGTGTCTGAAATTTGAGATTCTGAAGAACATATCAGAATTATGACTTTGTTCTTTAGAAGGCTTTTTGTGTGAGTAAGTCACGCTGTCGATCATATTTAATCGAACATTTGAATTAAAGATTTGTCAATTTGGTAAACAAAAAGCCTTCGTAGAGGAATATATGAGAACAGAAAGTTGAAAAAGAGGCTTATGAAGCATGATTTGTTTATGCTCGTCCTATAATACTGTATATTTTCTCTTCCACTCACCATATGGCTTAATTAGAAGCATTTGCTGTGTGTGAACAATCGACGATCCAAATATATTGCACTCAGCTTTCGCTACTCACATCCATCCGTTCACACATCACAATGATACACGATATTAAGTTCACAATCACATTCAAAATACACCGTACAAAATAGCATCTGATTTGTATATAGTAAGTAATTTAATGGCTATAGAGAAATATAATTTTTGATCCAAATTTCAGTCTTTAGCCCCCCAAAAAAAAAATTAAAAGGTAAAAAAAAAAAGATAAACTTAAATTAAGCTAAACTTATGAGCACTTTATTTTATTTTTCGATTTTATCAGCACTTAGATTTACTATATATGCGGATATGCCGTGCTTCATATCGTATTAGTTTGGATTTGCTTCAAATTACTATAATCCTCTTTTAATTTATAGATTAAAACGAAGAGTGCTTTCTCCTGAAGAGAAAATGATGAAATCTTGTTCCTCACAGACAGACAATGCCGTGTTTAGATCTGCGGTGGCTTTAGGCGAACTAAAAAAATGTGACCCTTACAAAAAATTAGTATTAAAATATCATCTTAAACATACAAAAAAATAATAATAACCAAAATTATAAAAATTATAAAACATAATTTTTCTTCTTTTCTTTTCTAAAAAATTATTTACCAAACTCACATAATCGAGTTGTTTAACCACAAATCAGACGGCTATGTAACGTATAACCGGGAATCGGCTGACAATCCAGTCAGACTTTTAAAAACCAAATAAATCTAGAAATACTAATTAAAAATTTTCAAACCGATTGATTCAGTCAAACCCAAACTTTGTTTAAACATTGGTTTTTAAGCTTAAAAAGATTTTAATTGATACTAGATTTTGTGGGTACTTTTAAAAACCAGATAAATCTGGAAATACTAATTAAAATTTTTCAAGTCGATTGATCCAGTCAAACCCAAACTTTGTTTGAACATTGGTTTTTAAGCTTAAAAAGAATTTAATTGATACTAATGCTTATATTGAAGAAAAATTATAGACCTCCTCATTTAGATATGGATGTGAGACTTTTTTAATTATACTTATTTTAAGTTTTTAGTTAAAATTTCCTTTTTAAATTTTCCTTTTTTATGTTTGAATATCCATAAAAATAAATATCAATAATACTAGTATATTGGCTTATCTTAAAGGAATAACCCAACAATATTTACCTCATTAACTATATACATGAACTAATTAATAAAATTGTGGCCTTAAACTTTTTTCAATTTTTGGTGGCGTTAGGCTAATGCCTAACTCACAAGACATGAAGCACGGCTTTGCTCACAGAAGATGATGATAGTGATGCAATTCTTGACCGGCGGTCTAATCTTAGCCCTTTTGATAACCTCCGTCGCTGCAAGAGGTGGACACGGTGGTGGCGGACACAATGCTGATGAGATTTATAGGACTCTATTACGGTTGAGATAATACAAAATCATAAGTACTCTCATTGATCAAGGGTTTACTTAATTAGATCACATATCTACTTTGTTCATTTGTTGATGTCATGATCCACATATGATTGAGAAGGGTTTACGTCTCCACTGTCTTGCCTACCTTTCTTTCACACTCCTTCGTCTGCATTGCCTAGTAAAGTAGTAATGACTCTATGTGTCTAATGTGTGAGCGTTTCTTGACATGTAATTATTTCTTCCTTCTTCATAAAAGTTACAGTAGTGATAGTCTTAAATCTCAATCTCATGTCTCAGCCGGTTTACTTTTGCAGCGTACCTGTTGGGCTGGGCCTTGTAGAGACAGCTATATACATAACAAAGGGGTAGAAGCCATTAACTTAGATCATTTAGACCCACCGAATTAAAGTCCTTGAAATGTCTGGTTTATACTCTACCAAGTCTAAACCGATGTCAAAAAAAAAAAAAAAGTTTTTATCAACCGGTACATATGCCTCAACGGTGGGTTGAGTCAAGCCCGAGTCCAAAACGCCTCGGATCTTCTTTTCGCCGCCGGAGAATGATCGCCGCCGTTAGAGCAGCGATTCTCAAGCCGCAAGCCAATCCTTCTCACCTCAATACTGCCTTTTTCCATTCTACTCCCATCCTACAACGCAATCATCAATCCGTCAGTCTCTCTCTCTCTCTCTCTCTCTCTCTCTCTCTTCTTCTTCTTCCTCTTCTTCTTCTTCTTCTTCACATTTGCTTGTATATGTGCTATGGATTATATAATTTCTCCGATTTCTTGTCCAGATTTTGGATATGTTTTTAGTGTTCAGAGTTTGAACCTATGGATAACTTGAATTTCTCCATTCGTCATCTATATATCTGTCAGAATTCAAAAGCTCGAAACAGGAGCTCTGGAAGAAATAGGGCAAAGCCAGACTTACGTCGCAATGTGAATGCTTTTGCAGAACATTTATTTGGGGTAATGTCAAATGTTCGAGCTTGTTTATCGGAATTGAACATTTTTTTCGTTTCATTGTAAAAGTTCTCAGTTTGATGCACTTTAGATACTAATTTGTTTCAACAGATTTGGAGTGATGGGTTTGATTACTCTGGTAAGCACGCCTCGTGGTTTGAAAAACAGTACTCAAGGGTTTGCAAAAGAAACCGGATTGGTAGACACATCCCTCATAGTTTGGATAAAAGTAAGACAACTCTTCTTTGCTTCTGGTTCCTCTTCTATGGCTGAAAACTGTACTATATAGGGATATACTAGTTTGGTAATTGCTTATACAATGAGGCCTTTGTTTCTTTTGTTCTATAGACTGTTTAGCTGCTAATGGTGTATATTTAAGTAAACAAAAGGCAGTCTTATGAATTTCTAGATTTGTTGTTTTGTTGTTGGTTTCAGTTAATTTGGATGTTGATTTTTGGTCACCAACAGTGCTTTTTAATCTGTGTAGGTTGTTTTGATTTCTGCGGAGTTGATGAGGGATCTGAAATCGAATACTTTATACGGACTACATTGGGTGGATCCAGGGGTTTCTCTTGCTCATTCACACATAAAGAGAGCAAATCTCGATGGAGATCCCGAGATTTCTCTGGTTCAAACACCCATGAAGAGGGGGAAACTCGCTCGTGGAGGTATTCTTCTAACAGTTCTGGACGATCTTGGGGCTCGAGACGACGATTAGATCAAGACGAAGATAAACAAGAACAAGACGACGGATATACTTCAACAGAATTCAGCGACTTAGGCTCAAACCAAGAGTCTCATAGACAGGAACTTGGTCTGAGTTCCTCAGGTCCCTTAAATCTTGAAGATGTCAAAAATGCGTAAGTAAATTAGTCACTTCATCTCATCATAGGGAAACTATAATTACATATATCATGTTTTATTTCTCATCTTGACTCTTGCTGGCCAACTTTTTCCTCAGATACCGAGCTTGTGCATTAAGATGGCATCCAGATCGTCACCACGACTCTACCAAGGTAATCCATACAATCTCTAATCACGCCTCCATTGTGTTTTGAGCTACTTAATGTGTAGAGCTCGGGATGCGTTTCTCGTCACTAATCACAAATTGATATGATATGAAACACAGAATGCAGCCGAGGAAAAATTCAAGCTCTGCACTGTGGCATATCAATCGTTATGCGAAAAGCTTGCCATGAACTAATAGGATAGTTTATCTCCTCGGGTTTTTGAATGTACACTGTGATAAGAGTTGGATAGGGTTTATCGACTCACCGGGTGCCTTGGTCAGAGTGAGTCATATTTAAACTCAGCTTTGGTCCAGTAATTCTTGTGTTAACAATGGCAGATTGTAGAAGCCTCCATTTGTTGATAGCTACTTTCAGAATCTGGTTTTGAAAAAAGGGTTCATATTTTTGGCTGGCACTCATGACCTATAAATGGTCAAGGCAATGCAGATGATCCTGAGCTAATCATCTCAGAGATTGATAAAGACCTGCACTTCAAGGTTGACATTTTCCTTCCCCTGTAATTGTGTATTGTATCGATATTGGTCAAGTCAAGTAAAGATCCTCAGGTGAACAAGAACTTCTTCCTTTTTGGAATGGCCTATCTATAGCTAGTATCAGAGAGCTTTTGTTTTCAATTTTGGATAGCTCTTATCCTCTTGGTTTACTAAGAGTTGATGAGGAGAGAATAGGTACAAGAAGCTACTTCTTGGAATAAGAAGCTACTTTCTTCTGTATTATAGACCATTCTAAAACAAAAAGTTCAAAATAAAATTGGCAGAGTATATACACTTGCTAAATTATCATATTTATTGGACGTGTCAGCTAGCAGAGTTGATGAACCCTTTAAACTTAGCGAGAGTCAAAAAATGTGATTTGCATAATAAATTGCACTCCTATAACTTTGTATGAAAACGAAGAATATATAAAGATTAGCATCTAAATATGGGTTTTCACACCAAAAACGAAGGACACCTAATGAGATTTGGTATACATTTATTTATAGACATCATTGGGTATCTTTTTAAGAGATCAAATAATATATATAAACAATAGAGAGGTGCACATTAACAGCATATTTTTTTCTATAATCAGAAAAGAAACTCGTCTCACAAATGATTCTAATATTTCCCTAGCCGTCCGATCACAAGAGAGCGTGATCATCGCGTGGAACTTTAAGAGTTTTAGACTGTTCTTTGCCTGAACCGGAGCGTACCAGATTCCTCTCCCTCTCTTCTCTCTCTCTCTCTGCTTAGAGGTTTCGGTTCGTTTTCCCACTTAGCAAATTTTGACAAGATTTGGACGTTTGTGTCTAAAGGAAAAAGGGCGAATTTCCATGGCGTTGTGGGGTGCTTCAGCTAGCTTTCACGAGCTCTGAGCTTGGTGTTGTAGCTGATTGAATCAACCATTTTTCTTCTGATTTTACCGACCTAGTCCAGTTCCAGGTCGTTGATTGTTCCTCTCTCCAGCTCCAGATTTTCTGATTTTTTTTTTGTTTTATCATTTTTTTGGGGGTATGATTTGTATCGGTTTCTGGGTTTCGTAGGCTGATTTTTGCTGGATCGAGAGTCGACGAAAGCTTGGGTTTTGTTCAATCTGGGTTTTTTTATATATTAGAATTGCAGATTTCTCAGGCGGGGACTTGAGAGAATTAGGGTTTTCTGATTGGGGGTTTCTTGATGCTGTTATCCCCTAATTGTTTTTTGGAGATCTAGGGCTCAGTAATGGAATAATGGTTGGTCTCTTGCCATCTCTATTTGTAATTAGCGCCTTGTTCGTCCAGAGACTCGGTTTCTTCTTCTTCTTCTTCTTCTCTTCGTTAACCCATCGTTATCATTTGAATCTGAAGCAAATCTGAGATTACACCAACTCTCTCGCCTGTAAATTGCTTCCGCGGTAAATATCTCTTCTTCTGAATTTCTTTATGTTGAATTTAGATATTCAGGATTGAATCAGCATTTTTTCTATTGCAAAGCTCGAAATTTTGCTACATATTTGCTTCTCCTTTTGTTAATTCACCTGGCCTTAGCTTTTCTTGTGCACCATCTCTTAGCTTTTAAAGTCTGGCTTTGTCTTCTTGTTTCACTAATGTTTTTAACGTTGTCTATGTTCTTTTTGTTAATGGTTTTACTTATCTTGGGTGAATATATTACGAAAGCTTTCGCATTGTGTTTTTGTTTGTCGAGTGTGTGCCTGCAAAGAAGCTAGATTGATTGTTTTTATGAGATCTACCTATTTGATTTTGTTTGATATGACTTTCTTTGTTCACCTTTTTGAAGTTTTATCAAAACAACTTGTGAACCCGAATAAGCTTATATTGGGTCATCGTATCTCCTCCATGCAGGATAATAAAGATCCTGCGAAGTACAATTGTTTATTGATGGGTGAGGAGTTAGCTGACACAATGAACCTGGATTTGAATCTTGGGCCTGGTCCTGAGTCAGATCTCCTACCGGCACCAAACGAGACTGTGAATTTGGCTGACTGGACTAATGAGCCTTCTGAGAGATCCTCGGAAGCTGTGACGAGGATCAGGACCCGGCATAGGACGCGATTCAGACAACTTAATCTCCCAATCCCGGTTCTGTCTGAAACCCATACCATGGCTATTGAACTGAACCAGTTGATGGGAAGTTCTGTAAATGGAGCTTCTTTGCAGACTGGTGAGGGTAGTGAAAGAGGCAATGAGGATTTGAAAATGTGTGAGAACGGAGATGGAGCGATTGGGGACGGTGTATCGGAGAAGAAAGCTGATGTCGAGAAAAACAGTGGCAGCGACGGTAACTTTTTCGACTGTAATATATGTTTGGATCTTTCAAAGGAGCCGGTTCTCACCTGTTGTGGCCATCTTTACTGTTGGCCTTGTCTATACCAATGGTTACAAATCTCGGATGCAAAGGAATGTCCAGTTTGCAAAGGAGAGGTGACCCCTAAAACCGTGACACCGATCTATGGGCGTGGAAACCATAAAAGAGAAATTGAAGAGAGTTTAGATACTAAGATCCCTATGAGACCCCACGCGAGACGCATCGAGAGTTTGAGGAATACAATTCAAAGGTCGCCTTTTACAATACCGATGGAAGAGATGATTAGACGTCTACAGAGTAGGTTTGACAGGGATTCAACCCCGTTACCTGATTTTAGTAACCGCGAGGCGTCAGAAAGAGTGAACGATCGAGCCAATTCAATTCTTAACCGGTTGATGACTTCTAGGGGAGTTAGATCAGAGCAGAGCCAGGCTAGTGCTGCAGCAGCCGCCATTGCAGCAGCATCAGAGGATATCGACCTGAACCCGAACATTGCTCCTGAACTTGAAGGAGAAACCACCACAAGATTCCATCCTCTGTTGATCAGGAGACAGTTACAGTCGCACCGAGTCGCAAGGATCTCAACGTTCACCTCCGCTTTGAGTTCTGCTGAGAGGCTCGTAGATGCGTATTTTAGAACTCATCCATTGGGGAGGAACCACCAAGAGCAAAACCATCATGCTCCTGTTGTGGTTGATGATAGAGACTCATTCTCAAGCATTGCAGCTGTTATAAACTCGGAGAGTCAGGTGGATACTGCAGTTGAGATTGATTCTATGGTCACTCTGTCGACATCTTCTTCGAGGAGAAGAAATGAGAATGGCTCCAGGGTTTCTGATGTAGACAGTGCAGATTCTCGCCCGCCTAGGAGAAGGAGATTTACTTGAAACAAATAAAAAACAAATCTTTCAATCTGTGGAAGATGATGAAGAAGAAGATTGTAACTTTATTTTTCTTGGTGCTTGTTGGTTTGTTGTATTTGTTTTGTAACTTTCGCAATAGGGATGGTATTTTAATCAAAGTTTTATGATCTTGTCTTTTTCAGGAATATATCTTTTCTGATTGAACCTGGCCATATTTTCTCAATCCAGTGAATCCAATGTGGAATGTGTTCTTATTGGACTCGTACTGGATTATAGTTCTTCGAATATATTTTAGATCATACTAATCTACTCTAAATTATAAATATCAAGTTATCTCTATGGATAAAAGTCAAAAGCCAAGATTTTGATTCTATCTAAAAACTTTTATATCGAGAAATACTATTCCACTCTAAAGTCAACCTAACATTTTGTTGGATTTTAAGTTGACAAAAAAAATTCTTCAATAAGAAAATAATTGAGAAAAGTATAAATCATGAATCTTCTAAACATACAGACAATGTTGGCATCATGTTGACAGTTTTACTATAAATATATATTATACTTGCAGATTCCTGTCAGTAAGTCGCTTTGGCCGAGTGGTTAAGGCGTGTGCCTGCTAAGTACATGGGGTTTCCCCGCGAGAGTTCGAATCTCTCAGGCGACGTCATTTTTTTTTCTGTTTTTGCTTTGACGAATATGTTACAAAACGATATATGTGGTTCTCGAAAAAATCCAAAATACTTTAAGTAGTGTACATGTCACATGCGCACAGCGACATCCGACACGTAAATTATTCTTGTAAATTATCTTCATGTTTTCTTTCAATTATTTCACTTTTGATGAGAACAAAACTCTTGAGTTAAGATTTTTTTTATTTCTGGCATATTATTATGATATTAAAAAACCCCGCATAAATACATTCACACGATGGGGAAAACAATTAAACCCCACAAAAAGGGTCATCTTCAACTATTTTCAGGCTTTCAGCAATTACTATTAGAATTGAAAAAAATTCGTGAACATTTGTAATATATATAAGCTTCAGCCTTCAGCATGTTGCTAAAATCTATCAGCTTAATAATGCTCTGTTTAATTAAATATAATTTTTCGTTTATATCCTTAGACCATCTTCAGTGGTAGAGTTTTTAATTTGAGATTTTAAACAAATAAATATTAATATTATAATATAATATAATTATTTAATTAAATTTTAATTCTAAAAATTAAAATAGACTAATGAGAAAGTGACAAATGTAGAATCTCTGAAAAATGGGGTTTTCAAATAAGAGTTGTAAGGATTGATTCTTATTTTTTAATTAATTAAATTTATTTTTAATCTCTTAACATTTAAAAAAATTTCTAAGAACCTCCCCATTGGAGGTGCTCACAGCACAAAAATGATTGACAAATTCAAAAATACTCCATCAAACATGTCTAAGTAGACTAAAATTACGTCAATGGCAGGTATTAAAACTTTGTTAAACCTAAATTTTAAATTGAGAGAAGACTCATTTATTTAAGAAAAAAAACTCAAATGATGTGTGCGGGAAAAGAGCGTCGTCTCGGTATTCGATGCACGAACTCTAGCCAATAAGATAAATAATTTGAAATGGTTATTAGATATTTAGCAATTGGTCACTATTTTGTATTTTTACTCAACAGAAATTTACTTTTGGAGACCAAACTGGAGAGTAGAGACTATCATTTCAAAGTCTTTACCTGCTATTTACTGCTTCTTTTGTTTTTCACTTACAAGTCACAAACGTATAAATGGTATTATTTTAGGGGATAAAAGTATTATTGGAATTTTGCATAAGTGAAGAATGTGATGCAATAAAAATTTAAAAACGAGGAAATACTTTTCCTTTTATGTTCTGTTAGATATCTGAACAAATAAATACATAAAGAAAGTACTCGAGCGTTGTAAGTTGTAACGCACCATAATGGGAAAAAATACTCGAATAGTAATAATCATGAAGATAGTAGTACAAAATAGGATAAATATAAATAATTGTAATTAAGAGAGATTAATATATTTCTTAAAAAAAAAGGGAACCACCTTCGTGAATTGTGATTCGGTGGTTTTAAAAGTGGAATAAAGACAAAACAGAGACCACCATTAATGGCTTTCACCGATACGAACAAGACAGGACACAACCATCCTCCTCCGCCTCCTCCCGTCTGTTTTCGTTTTCTGGGAAATCCTCAAATATTTTTTTTTTTTCAAAAATCGATCGAATTCTCCTCTTAATTTGAATCTGAAGCAAACCAAAAACTGATAATCACGCGAACGCTGAGTCTGGAATTTCCTCCGGGTAATGAACTTCTTCTCCTCCTCCTTTTGAATTCGGGGATTTTTTTTTTTTTATATAATTTTGAAATCGGGGAAAAAGATCGAGCATCACCGAATTCTGAAATTGGTTTTCGGGTCGGATTCTCGGGCCGGTGGTGCTTTATCTTTGATATCAGGAGGCATCATGTGACGAATCTAGCTCACTTTTTTTTGGGGAAATATATCTCGTAAGGTCAAATAAAATTTCGAATTTTTGGGAAAACCTTTTCTCTGTTTTGTCGTCTTTGAATCGTTTTGATTCAATGGTGGATTGTGTGAAATCGTTTCAGTAGGGCAAAGATAATGTTGAGATTTATGATATTGGGGTTGTGCATTTTCAAACACCGTTCTCTATAGACTTCTGGTTAAACCTGGTTTAGATTGAACTTTGAAACCTTGCTTGCACGATCTTTGTTAGCTGTCAGAAGGTTAGATTTTCTTGATTTCTGTTCTAGTTAGATCCATTATTATGTTTCTCTGTCTAGTTAGATTGAAAAGGATTGTCTGTAAAGAGGCAATGTTTTTACTATTTGTTTTGTTATCTTCTTTGATGTTCTGCGATTGATTACTGTTAACTGTTAAAGTCATTGGAATGTGCAAAGGTCTAGCTTTTAGCATTGTTCATAGCTTTAGGCCTATTGCTTTGGTACCTACCTGAATGTGCATTTAATGTTTTACCTCAATTGTTTGTTTTCTTTGAATTATCTCATTTTTATTCTTTTGTTTTCCTTAAGAAGCTAACAGATGCCAGAAATAAAGTAAAAAGACTTGATCAAGTGAACTAAGTATCTGCCCCTTAGTCTACTTTTTTCTCAATTTATATGACATGTGAATCAGATAAGCTTATATTGGTCTTGATTCCTTTCTCCTCCTGCAGAATAACAAATAGATCCAAAAGAAGTAAATCAACTGACTACAAGTGAGATACAAGGGCATCTCATTCTATTGAATTAGGGATTTGGACTCACCATGGCTCCTGGAGGCAGTGCTTTGAAAGAGGTCCTGGAATCTAATTCGACGGGAATGGATTACGAGGTTAAAATGGCAAAAGTTGAAGTTAATAATAACAAACCTACAAAGCCAGGTAGCGCAGGCATTGGAAAATATGGGATGCATTCGAATAATGGTGTTTATGAGCTTCTTGAATGTCCCGTATGTACAAATTTAATGTACCCTCCAATTCATCAGGTCTGTCACCTTTTTCTACTTAAAGATTTGTAATGCAATGTTCATGTTCTTAACGATGTTAAATTCTACAGTGTCCAAATGGCCACACCTTATGTTCAAACTGCAAAGTGAGAGTGCAGAACACATGCCCCACATGTCGCTACGAGCTTGGTAACATAAGATGCTTAGCACTGGAGAAAGTTGCTGAGTCGTTGGAAGTTCCATGCCGGTACCAGAATTTGGGGTGTCATGACATTTTCCCTTACTATAGCAAGCTTAAGCACGAGCAGCATTGCAGGTTTAGGCCGTACACTTGCCCTTATGCTGGCTCTGAGTGCTCAGTTACAGGTGATATCCCCACACTAGTTGTGCATCTCAAAGATGATCACAAAGTCGATATGCATGATGGATGCACTTTTAACCACCGTTATGTAAAGTCAAATCCACATGAGGTCGAAAATGCTACATGGATGCTTACGGTAAAATTTTCTTCTTTCGATATGTTTCCTTCTCTTTTCAAAGGTCTTAAATTTAAAGTCCGACTCAGGTTATTTCTTTCAAATGAAATTTTCACGTAGCTTGTGTTATTATATCACTATTGACTTTTGCTTATTTTATTGTCATTTGACATAAGCTTCACATTCACCTTCTGTCACTCTCTTTATCCTGAAGCATGAATTTTTCTTGGCTCTAGCTCTCTTTCCAAAAAAACAGATTGGATCCTTATTAGGAACTATTGTAATCTCCATCTTTAGTTGAAGCTACTTGTGCTACTCTTATTTTGCCCAAGTTTGCATTAGATTTTGGATTTGTCGATCCGCTGCCATGAGCAGAAGGCATAGGTTCACATTCCTGCTCTGTTAGCGCAGAAAACTCCCTTATTGGCTGCTTTTCCGGTTCTCGCTTTGTTCCTCTTTCTAAGCCCAATTTTCTCTCAGTTTACTTTTGTTTCTGCTGGCTCAATAAGCCACATCTAAAACGGTTGCTCTCTCATTTTTATCTTAGTCTTTCATCACATGTTACTTTGCTCTTTATCTCGCATCTTGGTTTCTTAAGTTTTGTTTTTTAAATCGGATTCCAGGTGTTCAACTGTTTTGGGAGACAGTTCTGTTTACACTTTGAGGCGTTCCAGCTGGGGATGGCTCCAGTGTACATGGCATTCCTTCGTTTCATGGGAGATGAAAACGAGGCGAAGAAGTTCAGTTATAGCTTGGAAGTAGGAGCTCACGGACGTAAACTAACATGGCAAGGGATCCCTAGAAGCATCCGTGACAGTCACAGGAAAGTCCGGGACAGCCAAGACGGTCTCATCATCCCAAGAAACCTCGCACTCTACTTCTCTGGAGGGGATAGGCAAGAACTCAAGTTGAGAGTGACCGGTCGAATCTGGAAAGAAGAGTAAATCGAAAGGAAGCAACAAAGAGTTGATTGAAAAATTGATGTACATAAGAAGAAGCCTCATGGAGAGCTAATGATCATATGGAAGATTTGGAGTTTGTTGTCTGGTTTTAGTATGTTATAATTGAGTCTTCTCCGATGGGGATGAAGGTGAGATGATGATGATGATGATAATCTTCTATGATGAATCAGTTTGGAGGGAGCCATTGTTACTATTTTGTGGCTGCAAGAATTATATTTTCTCTGTACTTTTTTGGGTTTTTTCTGTTGGGTTTTTGTGGTTTCAGACAGGATGTAGGAAAAGTAAGACATGATTTTGGCTATTGTTCTTGTTGTAAAACAACCATATACGAATCAGTTTGGTGCGTTTTCTTTCAATTACAATGGTTATTGTGATGCAAGACCATCATTGGAACTTGTTAGAGACTACATGATGACAGTGTCCACAGGAAAAATACAAGATTTTTGTAAATGCAGAAATCCAATGTAAATGGGATTCAAAAATATATTTTATCAAACTTGAAAATGTTATATTTTATAAAAATGTGTAAATGAAAACTCAAACATTTTTTTTTAAATTACGATTAGACTGCAGATTTATATATAAAGATGTGAAAATTTTATTTGTGGGAAAACTTTAAATCTGTTACCATGTGTCCAACTCCCAACTAATCAAATTAGACTAGATATTGTTAGAGGTGAAAACCGCACTCCGGTTTTCTCCGGTACAAACCGAGATCGGCAAACCATAAGCTCGGTTTACGAAGAAACGTACCGAGAAAAGATGGGCCGAACAAAGATGGGCCGAATACGGTCCATCAGGCCGAGGTCGGTGAGAAACCTCTCAAAGAAATAGAGAGTTTCCGTGAGCTCGGTCGAAACAGGAAAGTTTCCTAATAGAAAAAGGAAACTTGGGAGAGAAAAGGAAAGGAACCGAGAGAAAAGGAAACTCCTCTCGGCCCCATATCGTCTAAGGCGGGCTTGAATACCGACTTAGGAGATATATATAAAGGGAGACGAATCGACACCAGAGAACACAAGTTATTTTTTCCCGAGAAGACTTAAAGACTGAGAACTCATTACGATAGCTTCTTAGTCGCATTAAGTCTTAGTTCGTTATTACCTATCGAAATAACCGAACTCAGTTGTATTTTGCTTGATTCGATCTAATAAAACCGAGCTTCCGATCTAAATTACTGTTTAGTCCCTTGTCGATATTTGCATATCAACAAATGGCGCGCTAGGAAGGGGGTTTAAACAGATTTCTCAAGTTTTAGATCGGACTTCGGAAAGATTGAATCAGCGATGACAGACCAAGCCAACATTCACGAAGAAGGAAACCCTCTCGGTGGAAACAACGCTAACGCCCCAACAGAACAAGGAGGAGGAACTCCTGGAGAAAGCACTGGAACTATAGCCGGCCAAACCCCCACAGCCGTAGGAGGTTATGGAACCGAACTACTGCTCCAAGTGTTCAATGCCCAGTTTGAGGCTATCAACAAAAGAAGCGGGGAACGCTTCAGTCAGATGACGGCACAGATCACCGAGCTCAGTGAAGCACGAACTCCTCTTCGAGTTCGGAACATCATAGACGATCTTAATACTGACGGAGATCCAGCCGGAACTATGAGATCTGCCGCAGTCGGGTCAGCGAATGCACCAGCGTCGGATTTAAGCCGAGACGCCGAGCTCGAAGCAATGAAGGCGCAGCTTCGCGATATCACCTCAAAAATACACCAAGCCACGAGCGCGGCTCCGGAAATCGAGCGCGTCATTCAGGAAACACAGAAGACTCCCTTCACGTCGCGCGTAGCAGGAACGCCGGTCAAACACATGGAGAAACTAAAGATAAAAGTCTATGAAGGCAACTCTGACCCCCGACACTTCTTGACATCGTTCGGCATCTGCATGAACCGATACCAATTCAGGTCCGCCGAGGAAAGAGATGCGGTTCAGTGCCAACTGTTTGTGGAAAGTCTGGGAGGAGTAGCCCTCGACTGGTTCTCACGGCTCGAAGCCAATTCGATCGACAACTACAAGGAGTTAACAACGGCTTTCGTCAAACACTTCTCCATGTTCATTGGACAGAACACCAAGAACTCCGAACTCTGGCAAATAGCTCAAGGACCAAGCGAGAGCCTTCGCGACTTCATCCAGCGCTTCAAGACGATCGTCGCCAATTGTACGATTAGCGATGAAGCTGCTCTCTTATGTCTTCAAAAAGGAGCTCGGATAAAGACTAGCTTCCGAAGCGCGATCACGCATAACCCTCCGCAGACGTTAGAAGATGCGTTGCACCGAGCTAATACTTACATTGCTGAAGAAGAAGAAGAAGCTGCGTACGAGCAAAGTCACTCAACGAAGCAACCCGAACGTCCGAAAGCCGCGACTAATGAGCCGCAGTCAGGATACGGTCGAGGATATGAGAATCGCAAGAAGTTCTACGCCAACGCAATCCAACAACCGAACAAGCAGTGGAACAATAAATGGGTCCGCGGTGAAGAAGACCAAGACGAGTCATTATTCTGCGAATTCCATAACCGTAGAGGCCACAGCACCGAAGAATGCAGACATCTGCGAGAATACCTACTCGGCCTATATCGAAAGGAACCAATCTCGGTCGATGATCTCCGACGTTCGAACGTGTCTAAGAGCGGCGGGCAACTCTCAATTGACGATCTCCGTCGTTCACATATGCCTCGACCAAACAATGAACAGCTTGAGAAAGCACCCGCCAAAGATCCACCAACTCCACCGGCTTTACCGACACTACCACCGCCACCACCAAATCCACCTGTTTTGCCCGAGCAACAGAAACGGAATCATGATGACCGAGCACCAGAGAATCACGCTCTTAAGGCGCGGAAACGCGTCAACATGATAATGGGGGCCATCGAAGCTTGCAGTTATTCGGTCCGAGCCATCAAAGAGTACAGCAGACAGGCCGCCAGCGCGCCCAATGCCCCGCATGATCCGCCGAAGGGAACGCCCTTGGTATTTACCGAGGCCGATACAATCAGGCTGCATAAACCACATAACGACGCCCTCGTCGTCGAGCTGCTCCTCGACGACGTCGAAGTTAGCCGCATTCTGGTCGATACGGGCAGCTCGGTTAACGTTATCTTCAAGGATGCACTTGACCAACTTGAGTTGGCATCAGATAGGATTGAACCGTTTATCGAACCACTTACCGGATTCGATGGGGAACGTTGTATGACGGTCGGCATGGTCAACATTCCGATCTACGTCGGCGGAGTCGCAAAGATTATCAAGTTCCTTATCCCCGATAAACCGGCGATCTACAACACTATTCTCGGAACACCCTGGCTACACGCAATGAAAGCAGTCGCCTCGACGTACCATCAATGCCTAAAGTTCCAGACTCCCGACGGTGTTTATACTCTCCGAGGAAACCAAGCCGTTGCTCGATCGTGCTACATAAACGAATGCAGACTTCATTCGGCCAACCAAGCTTGTGTTATTAGCTCGTTAGGACCGACTGACAAGCTCATCATCCAGAATACAAAACCTAAACAGGAGTCGATCGTTCAAGTTTGCATCGACGAACTAAGGCCAGAACGTCAAGTCGGAATCGGCGCCGAGCTCGACTCAGTCATCCGCAAGCCACTCATTCACTTTCTGAAACAACATTCATCGACCTTCGCTTGGTCGGCAGAAGATATGCCCGGGATCGATCCACAGATCGCGTGTCACGAGCTCAACATTGATCCCACGTATAAGCCGATCAAGCAGAAACACCGAAAGCTCGGACCAGAGAAAGCACAAGCCGTGAACGATGAGGTCGAGCGTTTACTCAAAGCCGGATCTATCACCGAAGTCAAGTATCTAGATTGGTTGGCAAACCCCGTGGTCGTAAAGAAGAAGAATGGTAAATGGAGGATTGGCGTCGACTTCACTGACCTCAATAAGGCGTGTCCGAAAGATAGCTTTCCATTGCCTCATATCGATCGCCTTGTGGAAGCAACTGCCGGAAACGAACTCCTCTCGTTTATGGACGCGTTCTCCGGTTACAATCAGATTCTCATGCATCCGCAAGATCGAGAGAAGACATCGTTCATCACGGACCGTGGCATCTACTGCTACAAGGTCATGCCCTTTGGCCTGAAGAATGCTGGAGCAACGTACCAACGACTGGTAAACCGGATGTTCGCGATGTCATGCCCTTTACATCGATGATATGCTCGTAAAGCCACTCATCGCTTCCGATCACGTTGGCCATCTTCGCACATACTTTGATATCTTGGATCAGTATGGTATGAAGCTTAATCCAACTAAGTGTACGTTCGGCGTGACATCTGGAGAGTTCCTCGGATACATCGTTACACGGCGAGGCATTGAAGCTAATCCAAAGCAGATCGCCGCTATTCTCGAGCTCTCATCGCCGACAACTAAACGCGAAGTTCAGCGACTTACCGGACGTATCGCGGCACTTAACCGATTCATATCCAGATCAACAGATAAGTGCTTGCCTTTCTACCAACTTCTTCGCGGTAACAAGCATCTCGAATGGAATGAGAAGTGTGAAGAAGCCTTCGCCGAGCTGAAGAAATACTTGTCCACTCCGCCAGTTTTATCCAAACCAGAAACCGGCGAGACGCTTTATCTTTACATCGCGATTTCAGAGTTCGCAGTCAGCAGCGTTCTTGTTCGAGAAGATCGCGGCGAGCAGAAGCCAATTTTCTACACAAGCAAGTCTCTCGATGGATCGGAGTATCGTTATCCAATTCGCCTTTGCCGTGGTTATTTCTGCGCAGAAGCTACGCCCGTACTTCCAGTCTCACGCAATCGTGGTCCTGACCGATCACCCTCTTCGTACTTTCCTCCATAGCCCAAGTCAATCCGGACGACTCGCTAAGTGGGCTATCGAATTTAGTGAATATGACATCGAATACCGAAATCGAATAGCAACGAAATCTCAAGTCCTAGCAGATTTCTTGGTCGAACTCCCACCGGAGCTCGTCGAAGATAAGCCGGTCATACAACCCTGGATTCTTCACGCCGATGGTTCATCGTCCCATAAAGGATCCGGAGTCGGAATTCTTCTAAAATCACCCGAAGGAGAAGTTATCGAGCAGTCGTTTCGTCTCGGCTTCCCAGCATCCAACAACGAAGCCGAGTACGAAGCATTGATTGCCGGACTACGACTCGCCAAAGGCATCGGCGCCGAGCACGTACACGCCTACTGCGACTCTCAACTCGTGGCTAACCAGTTTCACGGCGAATACGAGGCCAAGAACGACCGCATGGACGCATACCTCAAAGTCTTTAAGGATGTCGCTTCGGAGTTTTCTACCTTCGAGCTTACAAAGATACCTCGAGATGAGAATGCAACCGCCGACGCCTTAGCCACACTCGCGACTAATTCCGATCCTGACCTTCGGCGAACCATCCCAATTGTGGCAATTGAGCGACCAAGTATCGAGCCCGCTCCGAACTGCAACATCATTACAAGACGATGTGACTACGAAAACCAACCCAATCTCGCCCCACCACTCACCCGGAGGACGAAACCCAAAGAGATCATTCCCGATCACGACAACAATACGGACGAGCTCAATGGTAATGAATCCGATCCCGAAGACGAATCTGAAGGATAACACGTTCCAATCGATATCGAGGCCGAAGGCGAGGACGAACCCGAAGATTGGACCTTAGAAATCGTGGGATACATCGGAGACGGAACAGTCCCTGCGGCTAAATGGGCAGCTCGGCGCCTTAAGGCTCGCGCAGCTCGATATGTGGTCATTAAAGGTACTCTTCTCAGATGGGATGCTTCCGGTGTACTTTTGACTTGTGTTCGCGGCAACGACATCATGGAAGTAATGCAGAAGTTTCACGAAGGAGAAGGAGGCAATCACTCCGGAGCTCGGTCTTTGGCATTCAAGATTAAAAAAGGTGGCTATTACTGGCTCACTATGCTTTCTGATTGCGAGAAGTATACGGCACGCTGCGAGAAGTGCCAACGTCATGGTCCGATGATCAACCTTCCTACCGAGCTCCTGATGACCTCGACCGCACCATATCCTTTCATGCGCTGGGCAATGGACATCATCGGTCAATTTCGCCGATCTACGACTCAGAAGCAATACGTTCTCGTCGTCACGGACTACTTCACCAAATGGGTTGAAGCCGAAGCATATCCCGAGATTCATGGAATCGATGTCAAAAAGTTCGTCTGGAAGTTCCTCATCTGCCGACACGGAGTCCCGTACGAGATCGTTACGGATAACGGAACCCAGTTGACTTCGATCGTTTTCCAAGATTTTTGTGCTAAGTGGAAGATCCGACTTAGTTTCTCTACCCCACGGACTGAAGAAACGACTCGATACTGCTAAGGGAACTTGGGCAGACGAACTCGACGGCGTCTTGTGGTCTCACCGAACTACACCGCGACGCTCGACCGGTCAGTCACCATTCTTCCTCCCTTATGGCATAGAAGCTATGTGTCCAGCCGAACTCAACGTCCCAAGTATTCGCCGAACTATGCTTACCCAGCAACCCGACGCGAATGACAACATGATGATCGACGCACTCGACTTAGTTGAAGAACATCGCGAACGAGCATTGCTCCGGATACAGAACTACCAACAACTTGCAGCTCGTTACTACAACAAAAAAGTTAAGGGCCGTCACTTTGAAGACGGCGACCTCGTTCTTCGCAAAGTCTATCAAAACACAGAAGAGAAGAACACAGGAAAACTTGGCGCGAACTGGGAAGGACCATATCAGATTATGAAGGTTGTTAAGCCCGGTGTTTATCAACTCATGAAGTTAGATGGAACTCCGATCCCGCGATGTTGGAACTCAATGCATCTCAAACGATACTACTACTAGTTCGTTTCGAGCTTCGCAAAAAAAAAAAAAAAAAAAAATAAAAGCCTCCGAACTACTTAGTCGGAGCAAAAATCCCTTTTGTACTTAGAACTACGAATGGCTTGATCCCTTTAAAGGGTACGTAGGCAGCTCATAACCGAGTCTAGCTATAACATCAATAAAATTTTATTAAGTCAAATATGACTAAGTTTTAGTTCGGAAATCACAAGGGACCGAACTCCTTGTCTTTACATCGACTTCCTGGCCAGTTGTTCGATAGCATTCCACATGAATGCAAACTTAAAAGCCGAGATCCGTCTCGCGAGCACCCACATGGTGTCGTGGTTAAGCCACATATCAAAATCCGGGCCCAGTCCCGCAGTTGAATTTCTAATTCACCAAGAACAATAAGCCGAGCACATCTCGCATACTTAGCTTCGACTTAGAAAAACCTTGAACTCGTTTCGTACGTTTACAGGAGTTCGAACTAGTTCACTCTTCCAGTACGAAATGATTCACTTGGGTTCCCCAGGCCGAGCTCGTATGCTCGCACAATAAGCCGAACTCCTGAGATTCGCACTATAAGCCAAGTTCACAACACTCGCAAAACGTAAGCCGAATTATCGCAATTCGCTATCAAAAGATGAAAACCACGTTCAAATATCATCTCTTATATACCGATCTAGTACTTGAGCACTAATCTCAAATCATTACCGACGAAACAAAGTTAAAATTCGAGTTAGATGCCGATCTACTACTTGAAAGATTTTTTCTAAATTTTCAAGGCAAGAAATAAGAAGAACGAGCATATATTTAAAAGCCTCCTGAAAGGCAAACGAGTTCAAAAGAAGCCCACCAAGGGCCCAGAAAGAAATAAAAATTACAAAAGAACCCATGCAAGGGTAGTCGAGTTCGATTAAAAAGAAGAAAGGAGAAAAACTAAGCAGTCTTAGAGGTGGCAGTTTGATCGACCTTCAGCATCTCTTCGTTAGAACCGAACTGCTCACCAACCATCGGATCCTGAGCGCTTTGAGTCGCGTTCACAGCCGGCGCATCTTCTTCCTCAGCAAAAGGAGACATCCGTTTATCCTCTTCGGTAAGGACGCAAGCGTCAACCGAACAGAACTCCTCCAGGGCCTTGGTGTGCTTCGCCTCAATGTCCGCCACCATCTCGGGTGGAACCTCGTACAAACCTTTCCTCTTGAGCTGCTTGATAAAACCGAGGACCCCAGTGAGTTGGTTGTAGACCGGGTACGGCTTACGAGCTCGATCAGCGTCATCCAAGCTTTGGATAACCTTCTCTAGGCGCTCGCAAGCCTTTGCGTGCACACTCCTAGCCCGAGCCCTCCAATGTGCCACCATGTCCTGCAGCCGCCCTTTGTCTTTCTCGAACTCCCTGGAAAGTAGGCTCTGGGCCTCAGTCAACTCGGCCTTCACCGCCTTCAGCTCCGCGCTCTCACTACAAGAAAGATTGGGTTTTACGTCGGCATATATCGACGTAAAATCGACGTAAAACAGCATTTTCGTCGAATTAACGACGAAAAAAAATTCATCGTAAAACGATCGTCGTAAAACCAAAATCGTCGTAAAATCGTCGTAAAATTACCAACTCCGGAAAATCGTCGTAAAATCGTCGGAAACTATTCGTCGTAAATGCGACGTAAAATTTCCAACGGAAGTACAACGAAAGAACTCCAACATAAAAACGACGTAAAATCGATGTAAAATTACATCGATTTAACAACGATTAGGAGACGAACAATTTCAATTAAGGGAAACTAATTTTTTAATTGTCGATGTTAAATCGTCGTAAATTTTCGACGTAAATTCGACGTAAACTTATTCGACGTAAACTCGTCGTTAAATATTCGACGAATTAAATATTTAATTTATAAATCGACGTAAATTCGTCGTAAATTTACGTCGATTTATAAATTAAATATTTATTTCGATTTTAATTTAATTAATGAATTTTGAAAATAATAAAAAATTAAAAATAGAAAAAAACAATTTAAATTCAAAAATAATTTATAAATAAAAAAAAAATTTAATACAAATTGTTTTTTACAAAAAAACTAATCTACAATGTGATTTCGTTATCGTCGAGGTTCAGATCGACGTCACGAGGAGGCTCTCCGTCTTGGCCGCCCGTCGCTGCTGGACCGTCGTTTCCCGTCTGCACTACCGGAGCCGAAGACTGACCTTGCGTCTGCTGGTCCGATGGTCCAGTACCGGAAGTACCACCGGTCTCAAAGACCCCTCGTGCTCGCTGTTGCCTCGCTCGGATTGCGGAACCGCTTCCGCAATGATGTCGAAGAGACCGTGCATCTCGGTGAGCTCCTGCTTCTGGGCCACTTGCTCATGCCTGAGAGTGGTGATCTCAGCATTGGCCGTAGCAAGCTCCTGGCGAAGCTGACTCGGATCCTCCTGCGTGCGGAATCCGGAAGCCGAGGCGGCAGGACAGTCTCTAATAGAGCCCATCCCTAAAGTTCGGCCCTTCTTCTTCGGAGCAACCTACAAATAGAAAATAAAAACGTTAATTATTTATTAAGTAATAAATATAATAAATTTTTAAAAAAATTGAAATAGATCATACCGCTTCGAAAATCTGGTCTTGCTCAGCGACGGTCAACGGTACTTGGATAGTACCGTCAGGTGTGGCCTGGGTCTCCCGCTCGGCGATCCGCTGCATAGCGGCATTGTAGATCTCCTCGGACCGAGCGTCGACAAAGCTCCCGTCCCTCTTCCGGTGAGTGGTCTCGAAGAGCTTCGTCATTGGAGGTAGTTCTCCTCCGTTCTCCTCGGCCTACGAATTAGTAAACATTAGTGAAAAATATTTAATAAATTATAGCAATAAATAAAATTAAATTAAAATAATAATTACTTACCATCATGAGACGTCTTCCCGCAAAAGATATTTGGCCAGAAGTGTGCGGGGTCACTAACTTCTCACCAGTCACCGGATCGACCCGGTTTCGGACGGCCGAACACTTAGCAGCGGTGGTTTGGGCATGCGGGTCCAGCCAGTACGCCTTCAACCCGTTCCAACAGGTAGTGGACATGGAGCTCGGCTTTGCGTCGTCGCCGTCGGTCTCCCATTTCCGCTTCCAATCGGAAACGGTGTTGACTAGGCGTTTCTGCGCCTTCAGCCGGAAAGCTTCGTGGACCGTCTCGTTGATCCCGATGTCCCAGTTCCACCGTTGCTGCAAAAGAAAACAAAAAATTAGATAAATAATATAAAAGTAAGATTAATTGAATTTTACTACAATTTAAAATGATATAAATAATATTTAAAAAATATTACATACCGCAAAGCACTTGTACCAGGTGTCGAACGTCTCTTGCGACACCTTGCTCCAATTGTAGTGTGGCTCCACGAAATGACTCTTAATTGTGTCGGAAACGCTCCGACCGACACAATTATCCAAACTAAACCTATGAAACAAAAAAAAAACTTATTACATTAATATTTAAGTAAATTAAAACATTAATTTAAAAAAATATAAAAAACTAAAAAGTTTACTTACCAATAAGAGCCCGGTTCCGCTTTTTCGGGAACCAGACGTCGTAAAGCCCCCCGTCCCGGTAGGGCTAGTAAATCCTCAACCGTAAACTGGGCATACGGATGAGGAGGGGCGGGTACCGGTTCGGCAGCCGGCGGTGGAGGTGGTGGTGGAGGCGATGGTGGAGGCGGTGGTGGAGACGGCTCCGCGGTATTCGGAACCTGGGAGGCTCCGGAAGATGAAGGGACATCGGTCCCGGTGTTTCCCGAGGCAGACGCCCGGGAAGAGTGTCCGTCCGCCTAAATCTAAGAAATTCCGATCCTAAATCTACCAAATTCCGAGCCTAAACTAATTCCCGACCTAAACCGTTTGAATTTCTACCTAAACTAATTCCCGACCTAAACCGTTTGAATTTCTAAACTATTTAATAATAAAATAATTTAAAGTAATTAAAAAAAAATAATTACCTTTTTTATGCGTCAAAGGAGGAATGCAAGAGAGGACGAAGCAGAGAGAGAGGAAGGAGAGATAAGCGACGAAATGAGGAAGGGGTGAGGTCCTATATATAAAATTTATATTCGTCGTAAATTCGACGTAATAGTTACGTCGAATTTACGACGAATCCGTCGTAAATTCGTCGCAAAGGTCCCACCGTATAATAAAGCGAATAAGACAAACACACGTGGCTGTATCTGGGCTTTGCGACGATTTTACGATGATCCGTGTTATTCGTCGTAAAATCGTCGTAAAGTTACGACGATTTTACGATGATCCGTGTTATTCGTCGTAAAATCGTCGTAACTATAATCATAAAAATTTAAGACGGCTGTGTATCCACAAATCGTCGTAAATTCGTCGTAATATTACGACGAATTTACGACGAATTATACCAAAACTGATGAAATTCAAAAATTGAAACATCCATAAGGACATACAAGCATGTCTATTCATGATAAATGTGGTGTGTATAACTTTCTAGCATGTTTACATAACTTAATGAAGAATTTAGTAAGATGTAA